GCACCATACTGCTGCGGTTGCTCAGGCCGTCAGACTCAATGTCGGTGAGGGTGAGCTCACTGCTGCTAGCCACTTTGATAGGGATGGGGTTGGAGATCTCTAGTTTGTTCTTGGACTCGCGTTTGGCCTCCCTCTTCAGGTTGAAGAAGCCGCGCCGCATGCTCATCTCCTCCAGACTGCGCAGCTCTGCAGCAGACATCCTTTCCTTTTTGTCCTTCTTCTCCTTCCTGCTCCCTTCTCTCTCCTTATCCTTTTTCATCAGATTAAACATGGCGGCAGAATAAATGTTCCTGTCAAACGAAGAAGAATTTCCCCGCAGAGCTGCAGGTCCAGGTCACCTGTCAGGTGCTTTGGTTGTAACCAACAGGGACGAATCCCCTGAAAAGAGAGAAAGACAGAGAGAGGGATGACTGTCAGACTTCTTCTTGGATATTCATGAAAATACGTTGAAAAGACAATAATACTTTTGTGTTTTCTACTCTTAACATTTATTATAACAAAACAATGCCCAATCAACTCATGCTGGTTCACCTCCTCCATGTAATGTCAGACAAGATTTACTGTTCTGGAGAATTTAGGACCTCATATATAAGCCTCATCACATCAATTTGCAACAGAGTGAAGTTGTCAACTTCACACGTCAGCGCAAAGCATCAAACCTCAACATCTCTGAAGCATTTATGCCTGTTGGGGTGCTGCTGTAGTGGTTACTATTTGTTATAAGTAAATGCGGCCATCTACTCTGGGATAAAAAATGCATTTAGGTACAATGAAGTATATCTTATCTTACCTTTAATGCAAAATCAATGTTCATCAAGCTGCAATTACTTTCCTCTACATAGTATCAGATCAATAATAACCCTGTATTTCTGATGAGTCAGAGAGACGATAACTTGAGTGAGAAGTGGCCTACTTCTCCCGAACATCTGGTTTCTGCATACTTGAAGAGTTTGTTTTTATTTTGTGAGACAATTAAACAGCATCAGAAGCTGGAGACTGTAAAATAAGACCTCCAGCACTCGCACATTACGGAGGCCCACTGGAGGAGCTTGGCAGGACCAAAACACATTCCTGGCTTCATTTTTAACCGGGTCTCTGAGTCCAAACCCTCAAAAATCAGGCAGGGACTCTCTCTGCTACAGACTGACATACACACACACACACACACACACACACACACACACACACACACACACACACACACACACACACACACACACACACACACACACACACACACACATCCTGCAGCCTGCTTCTCATTAAGCTGAGTGACACACACGCTCCTCTGTTATTACACACAGGTAATAATATTGGGTTAAGATGTCTGTATTTAAAGTCAAAATGTCAATGAGTAAAGTCTGTGCTCGCGAGCGTCTGAGCTGCCCTGTCAGAGATCAATCAAAGGTCACATATTGAAAGGTTTACTTCTGTACACACAACAAACAGGTGATTTCATTCCTTATTACACTGCCTCATCATCAAAATTTTGTGCTGTCTTAGTTGTTAGAGAAAAGCTTTCTACAAGCTCTTTGGGACATTAGCCCCATGTTATGTCTTTGAAAACAACCAGATAGAAGATAAACATTAAATCAAGGCTGTTTTTTTTCATCTACTCTGGTTTTGAGATTGAGACCATGCTTGCACCTAGGGCACTGAAAGACACATAACTTTTAATCAAAAAGCATCTCAACAGGGGTGTGTACTGTCCACAGGGGTGCCCTTAAAAACTGACTGTGGTTGGTGTAAAAAGCCTGTTATTTGCTACTAATCACCAAGGACGACACTCAGAACGTACAGTGTGCCTTCATTTCTGTCCTTTGTGTGATGCGCAGCCAAAACAACTGCCTTGATAGATGGAACGAGGGCAGGCACAGAAGTGACCTGGCTGGAGGAGTCACAGGACTGACGTCAGGGCTTCTTCCACAAAACCAAAACATGCATTCAATTCATCAATGAAACGTCAAAGATCCCACAGAAGAACAGATTTTTGCACTGATTCAAGGCCAACACTTGTGGTTATGGAAAATCCAATGACTCTTTGGTCCGTGATTTTTATTTTTTACATAATATGTTTTTATTCATCGTTCCCCCTCTAATCTGATAATCTAATCCGATCAACAGAGGCGCTGATAATCTTTTTAAAACAAAATAACTCATCCAAAGTAAAACCCACAGTACAATAACTTTAAACTCACTAAGACTGATGAGAAATACCTCAAATGATGGGCACCATGCTAAACAAAAAGTGCATTTCATTCTACGGTATGACCGCTGTTAAACCTGCTTACAGGAAGGAGGGAGGGTTGATGACCTGTCCTGCAGCCAGTAAATCTCTACAGTCAGTGAATACTTACAGTATCTCTTTTGTCTGTGGTAATCTCTTACTTATAACAACAAAAACCCTAAACACAAAACTGACACAGTAAAGAGAAAAACTAACTGGACTGGGTGTGTTTTACAAAGTACTTTATTTCTTATTAATCTCATATTATACTTCTTCACTTAAATATCTTAATTTAATAATGTCATCTTTCTAGTAATACTAGTAATGCACTTTGATTTGCTCTATGTATGAATAATGCTTGGAGATGATCCTCTTTTGTGTTGCTCTTAAAGGGATATCCCCGCGCAAAATTCATTTAGGGTCTAACACACCGTAACACTGAGTTAGACAACCCTCGAGAGATAAATGTTGCCGACTGCTTGCTTCTCTAGTTATACCAACTTTAGTAACGACCTCATGATAGCAATACACAGCAGTCTAAGGAGCCATAAACAAACCTCAACCAAAACACCACGCTATAGCAAGAAATAATGATCAGAACAGCACCTAACTTCATCAACAGTACATACAGGGTCCTCGCCATAGTACTAGCCACCAAACATCTTTTGAATTTTGCCTAATTTCTTTAGCAAAGAGACCAACCGCAACTCACCTACTCTCTTCCAGCAGCTGGAAATGATAAAGTAATAATCATAAATGTTCTTCCTTGAGCTGCGTCACCCCGCAACAGTACGTAATGGACTGGCCTGAGGTCTCGCTACAAACAAGCCGTCGCTGGAAGAGAGTAGGTGAGTTGTGTTTAGTCTCTTTGCTAAAGAAATCAGGCAAAGTTAAAATGATGTTTGGTGGCTAGCGGCTGGGACCCTATACGTACTGTTGATGAAGTTAGGTGCTGTTCTGAGCATTATATGTGACTATAGAGTGGCTTTTTGGTTGAGGTTTGTTTATGGCTCCTTAGACCCCTGTGTATTGCTCTCCTGCGGTCGTTACTAAAATTGGTATAACTAGAGAAGCAAGCGGTCGGCAACATTCATCTCTTGAAGGGGTGTCTAACTCAGTGTTACGATATGTTTGACCCTAAATTAATTTCACGCCAGAATATCCCTTTAAATGTGAGTTTAGCAGACCGTGAAAAGGACTTCAAAATTTTCAAATACTTCAACCTGAGACTTAGGACTAGTACCTACAAGTTTGACACTTAGAAAACGGACCTACAATATGTTTAAGCCACTGTCACGTTGTGTTTTCAAGTTAGACAATATAATCAAAGAATATAACATCTCTATAACGCTTTCATGTTGGCAGAGACTACAAGATGGGACAGGTATTGTCAGCAAATGCTATTCATTCATTATGTGTACACATGATTTATACCACCCCTGTAAGAGTCAGTGCCTCATCTCGGCCACCTTTGTCCAGGAAAAGTCTGGGCACGCCCCTGTATGACAGCGCTAACATACATGTAGCTTCGCGGCTAACTCCTCCAGCTAGCTGGGCTGCTGCTCCGTAGGAGGGTGTAACGTTGCCTAATGACAAATATTTGCGTCTTCAATCTAGCAGAAAATTAAAAGGTCCCATCACAAGAAGTCAGCAGTGATTCATGATGATTCTGGTTAACTTTCCAGTCACTAATCCAGCTAGCTAACTAGCCTCATTGGCTCCAGTCACAACGGTAACGTTTTGCCCTCATTTTTAGGAACAACACATCGGGATCCTGCGATAATGATCCCGGGCTGCCGGCCGTCTCAGCGCGGCTTTCTTCCAGTGAAAACTGTGCCCTCTCTCTGATTTAACATGTTTAAGAGAAGCAGAAATACTCACTGTGCTCCAGGACACCAAAGGGTGCTGTGTTGGTGGGTGCAGCTCAGCTCGTTGGGAACAGAAGCCGCAGACTGGCTGAGAGCTTTGAGAGGTGGCTGCTCCCAGTCCGCCTCTGGAGGCTTCGCTGCTCAGAGAGAGGCGGTCAGACAGCGACACCTGCTGGACATCAGCCGGAGGTACAAGACTGCGCACTAACAATATAGGCAATACAGTGAGATCTGGGTAAGCGAGACTGTAAGGAAGAAACACTGAGGTAGAATAAAATATTGAAACTCAAGATAGGATAGTGACACAGCCAAGATAGGGGTAATAAATAAGATCATTAAAAAAAAAATCCAAGATGACTCAAGTTAAAAGAGGATTAAAAGAAAGAAAGAAAGAAAGAAAGAAAGAAAGAAAGAAAGAAAGAACTTTATTAATGCCTAAAGGGAAATTCAATTGTCTGTTGTCTCACTTGACATGTCTCTAAAAGTTATCTACTATTTACAAAGCCTGAAAGTTATAAAGCCTGATGGCTGTTGGTAACCTACAAAAGATCTTCTGAATCTTTCTGTCCTGCAGCAAAGAGAGAGGAGCCGTTCACCACCATTGGCCCTTTGGTCTATCAAGGTGTTGTGAAGTGGGTGATCCATGTTCTTTAGAATAGTCTCCACCTTCCTCAGTGTAGATCTCTCCACCACATCCTGAGTCCAGCTTGAGTCCTACCACAGAGCCAGCCTTTTTCACCAGTTTGGTAAGAATACAATTAAGAATTGAATTACAATTTAAACAGAATACAATCACAGAATAAATAAATTATTCAGTTATTCAAAATGTTATATCATACACAAGGAGTCTTCTATATAAGTCATCTGGCTTCAAGGTCAAGATAGCAAATTAGATAATGACACAGTATTGTACAATATTTCTTTTTAATGCTTCACAAAGCAGAGATTACACACACAACAGGCACAGCACACATAATATAACTTTCCAATATCAGTGCAACTGTTAACAATGCACTGTTTAATATTGTTTCAATCAGTCAAACGTTCAGTGACATCCAAGAGTCATCCCTTAATTCAACTATTAATCCAGCAGTTATAAATGTACATAGTTAATATCAATTAGATCTCAAGAGACAAACTTAGAGAGTCTAACAAGCCAGGTACTAGAAAGAAGCAAATGTAAAAGAGATTCTAATCTAAAATTATGGATTTTTGGTTGCTTGGATAGAAAAATAATAATCTGCAAGTGGGTATTGATAAACACAGTAATAAATGCAGTGACACCAGTGGAATGTAAGGACCAGGCACAGGTCCTGATGCAGGTCATGGGTCTCTAAATCACCACCGAAGTCAAACTGATATCCCCATTGATCTCCAGGCTGTTGATGCGTTGGACGGGTGAGAAACGGTGTCTAAAGGTGTTGGTCTGCATACCGTTGACCATAATCCTGAAGGAGTGACTCTCACAGCAGATCGTCAGCTACAAGGTAAAAATAAATAAATAAAATTGTTGTAAAACATGAAAGTAAAACCATCCTGTGTGTTTTGATTCTACCTCTAGATGGCAACAAAGCACGTTCTTTCATTTGCACAGTCCTGATATCATCTGCACTTGCATGAACCCAGTAGCCAGACAAAAAATTCATTGAAAAAGCTGCTGTGGGTTTGGAGAAAAATTGATGCAAGGATAAATAATGCAGTCAAGAAAAACTGCAAATGTACCAACATGGATCCTGAAATACTGTTTGATCCTAATGTCATATCATGTGTTTGTATTGGTATTTTCGTTTCATCTTTTCGATAAACATCCAACAGTCTTTTTTTTTTAAATAACTGTGAAGTTTTAATATTATCAGAAACATGGGATACAGAGGTATGATTGTCTTTGTTTATATCTGAAGCATTACTTATAATCGTTTTAAACCAGTCGAGTCACTCGAGTCATCCAAAAACACGCCTTTACTCTTCAGCTTTAAATTGCCCCTAACTAAACTAGCTCTATGAGTATAGAGATTTTATCACTCTCATTATTGTTGCTGTAATTCTTACAATAAATTTTTTTTACTGCTTTGTCACTCAGATTTTTTCTTCCTCTACTTGTGTTTGCTCATTTCATTTGCTTTTGGTTATCTTCTGTGTGCTTACTTCGGATCATCTGTGCTGTGTGTACAGTGCTGCATAAATCAAGTTTCTGGTGAGAGTTCCTATTCGTGATGTGCCCTTGGAATCATCCTACTTTTCTTATTCCCCTCTGGCGGGACCAAGTGGTTTACTCTGTGCAGTTACTCAAAGACCTGCTGTCTTACCGTGAAAGGTTGTCCCTTGTGGAAAGGTAACCCTCCTCCTCGCTCCTCGCTGCCCCACTTATTGCTCTGCTTGCTGTTCCTGACCACGTCATTCTCATCAAAACGTGGGTTATAGTGCAGAGCAGTGCCTGAGGAATGGTTGAGATTCACGCTGAACCTAAGGGAATGAAACATAAGAGTGATTTTTTAATTTTAACCACTTCAGTTACTTCAGGTTCCCCTTGGTAAGACAAAGGGGAAACTTAGATTCAGGTTAAACCTAAGGGAATGAAACACAAAGAGCAATTTTTTAAATTTTAACCACTTCAGTTCCCCTTTGTAAGACAAAGGGGAACTGAAGTGGTCTTTTTCCAGTCTTGGAAAACATTTACTTTTGTCCCAGCTTCTGCAAAACATAATGTAATTTTAAATGAAAAAATATGGTTTACAAACTGATAAAAGTGAGAGCAAATGAATAAAAGATATTTTACAGTCCTGAACCAGTCCTCCATATTACAAATAATGACATACCCTGAGATGGACAAAACTCACTAAAAACTCACTGGATTTGTTTTTGGGCAGTTTGTCCCAAACATCACACATGACTGCACGTCTGGACTACAGGTAAAGCTGTGTTCCAGGGTTAAACGTATTATTCTTAGTGTAATCAAATTGAAGAGGTATTTAATTTTTACAGAGTAATCCACTGTTTTGAGTCAATGCTGAAGACAAACCTTGTTGCACTGGGATGAACAGTGCCCTGGATGGTGATAGTCCGGCCTGGTGTGAGTCCACCACTGATGACATTGCTGTATGGGACAGACTAAACAGACACACAAGGTGCTTTAGCCAAAGATAACTGAAATCCTGTTTCACTTAAAAGTATTACTCATGTACACCAACACAGAGTACTGTGTGTTGCCATTATCTTAACATGGCTAAATATTACCTTTGACAGGGCTGATAAAATACACCTGCTGTATGAATTGGTTTTTATTCATATTGTGTCCCTATGATCATTCTGAGCGGATTATCTTAACAGGGAGTACCTCAAGGCTCTATTCCTGAGCCTTTGTAATTCAGCCAGTGCATGCTGCTTTGCTAAAGGTGCAGTGTGTGGTATGTAGCAGCATTCAGCAGAACAGACTAATTAAAAATTAAATAAAACGTTCATATTAGAGAAAGGCAAAATTCAGCATTTGGCCAACTATCTGCCTTATTTTTAAACAGACCTTTTTTGTCGATAAAAACAAGTGTGTGCTAATTTGGCTCCACTGCTGGTTTATCCCTCTTTCTCCATGTCTGTTTTCTTGCACCACTTTGTCTCATCTATCTATGTAATCCTGAAAACATATAAATCTTTAGTTATATCAATTTATATTCATCACTCCAATGTTAAATATTTACATTCAAGAAAAATAAATTGCCTAACATAGTTGAATTCTCTCACAAGTGTTGCTCAGTTTGACTTTAAGGCATGATGGTGTAAAGTTGGCAAGCAGACTGCTAGAAAATTTAACTTTTAACAACATCTTGAGTTTTTTGCCATTAGCTCTGATACTCACCAGTGCTGCAGGAGGAAACCCAGGCTGTGATGGGAATCCTGGTTGTGAGGGGAATCCGGGCTGAGGAGGGAATCCGGGCTGAGAAGGAAATCCGGGCTGGGTTGGAAATCCAGGCTGGGGTGGAAATCCAGGATATGCAGGGAATCCAGGTTGGGGTGGAAATGATGGGAATGCTCCATGTGAGGGAAATGCAGGCTGAGCCGCCTGTCCAGGAAAGTAGCCACAAGAAGAAAAATGCAAGCACTTAAAATGCAAAATCTCTTAACTAGCTGGTATCTTATCTACTTTTGTGTTCATTATTTGTTTTTTTTTTTTCTTACCACAGGGCTCTGGAAGGCGATAGAGGAGATTTCCACATTCCCACCTACTGAAATGGTGTCCACCTGCTGAAATGGGATACGATGTCTGTACTCCATAAAGTGGCAGCCATTCACGCTCACCTGCAGAGAGGACATGTGTTAGTTTACAAATATCACATTTCCTGTCTAAAAGAATTTTCGTGATGACCACAAACTTGATAGGTTAAGATTTGGACGCTTGATTGCAGAAAAGTTTAAAGTATGAAAAATTCCTGTTGGAATGAGTTGAATTTGTATCATTGTAAAAATGTAGATATAAGCATGAGCACAAAATTCTAAGCAGAAAACAAACCTGCTTTGCACTCACCAAGGACTCAAACTGAGTTTCACCATGAAATAGATGCTGGTGTTTCATAAAACCAGCTTAAACCTAAAGTTTAATCTTCTACTACCTTGATCACACAGAGTAAACCTTTTTCTACTTTCATCAGTTTTGTATCATACCAACCTGGAAGGTGTCACGGCAGACAGTGATGAGCAGGGTGAAGTTGGAGCCAGAGGGAATTGGACACTGTTGCTTTCTCTCTTCAGTGCCCCAGCGGCCTTGCTGGAAGGAGTTTGTGACCACATAATTCAGAAAACTATCATAGCGAGGGTTAAAGTGCAGAGCGACATCTGCCTTGGGTGCAGAGCCACATTGTAAATTCACATGGAACCTGTAATGAAACACAGAGAAACAAACTTCATTATTTAACTTTTCATGATAAAAAAAATTCAATCTACACTTTTTAAATGTGCCACTCAACCTGTTAAAAAGACATTAGGTCACAATACTTAAGCTCAAAAAGAAAAAAAAAACAAATGCAATTGACCTCAAGTGACCCTTGTGTCATTACAGTTGAAATGGCAAGAAAAAAACAATGTTTCGATTTCTACATTGTTGCTAATAAGGACCACATAATATACCAAAGACCTTCAAAGGGGAAGTAATTTAAGTGCATTTCCCTTTACAAAAGTAACAGTGCACAAAAATGCAATTCCTTGAGAGTCTGTCAGAAGCTATCCCAAAAGTGAGTCTGTCCCCAAAAAGCCCTATACTGAAATGTGAAACATTACAGAAAAATTTGACAGTATTAGGGTCACATTCAAGGAAAAGGCTCAAAAAAGACTGTTCCAAGAGCAAATATTTATGTTCTCCTGCTTCAAAACAGCATTAAGTAGCAGATTAAATTAATCATCTTATTCTCAGAATAATATTGGTCGATTCACTCATAACTTTAATCCTTTTAGGAAAATTATCTTACTACAACTGTTTACTCTGAAGAAAAGGATTTTACTTCTACTTTATTCTCAATTCTCTATAATCTACCATATTTGTTTTTTTAAATACCTTGAAACTTTAAACCCTATTGTGTGTATGCAACCTTTTCAACACCATTTTTGCCAGTATACAGAATAAATCCATATCTGCACAGAAACTTGCCCATGGCTTACAGGAAAAATGGTGTCATATGACATTGTAGTCCTGCACAGTAAGGTTTGTGGATTCATAAACAGATGAAATGTGATGCATACATGGGAGACAGAGTGTAATAGTTAGGCCTATGCCAGAGAGCAAACTTACACAACTGTAAACTGGAAAACCCTACATAGGATTACAGCTATCAAGAAATTCATTTTCATTGCAAACTGTAAATTAACATCTTTACATTTGCTTATTCGCAAAATGATTTTTCTTTCTTTGTTTCATTGTGTCACCTTTAGGGTGCAGGTACTGATTGGGCTACTAATTGCTATCTCTGCTAACTTCCTGCTCAGCCCTGTCATTCTTGAACCATCTACCGAATGCTCTTTGCAGACTTCCTCATTTCTTTATCTCATTTATCTCTTAGATTTAGTTTATCTTGTACCCTATTTAATATTAGGGGTATCACATGAAATAAAAAGGGCTGTCTGACCTGTCAGCTCCATGTGGGACTCGTCCACTGACATTGATGGATTTCCCCTCCTGCAGACCACCATGGATTGATCCAGTGAATGGGAGTCTCTAAGAAAACAGACATGAGTTATCGTTTAAATACGTGTTTTTACCTTGTTTTGATTCACTGCATCTCCTGCTGAAATGAGGATGGTTCAACTAAGATTTCTCCCACCCCAAGATGCACAGTTAGTAACATGGTAACAAAATGTCTGTCTCCTTGGTTGAACCCATAGACTGTTTATAGAATGGATGCCATCTGCCTCCTCGCTGGGCGAAGCAACTCCAAGAACAGCACCCTCTGGTGACAGGCTGCATTAAAGGTCATAAATCCTGCCTCTGCCAGCAAAGCTTATGGGGCTGTGGACAAACTTTACTGTAGCAGTTAGAGTTTAAAACTGTTTAAATGGTCCTATTTTCAGCAGCTAGGACCCTCTAATTCTGAGATCTCTTTAGCACTTCACCAATGAGAGCCCTGTAAAAAAATGACATTGTGGCTCCTAGTGGCAATTCTGAAATCCTACATCAAGCTATGGTTCAGCTGTTCACCTTGTCAGAGATCATGGCTCTTACACTTCCAACAGGCAGTCAGTCGGTAACTTTTTTGCCTTTGAAAGTATGTTTTTTCCTCTAGTCAATGTTTTACATGTCAACTGTTGACAGACATTATTGAGTCCTACAGAGATTTATGTTCAGCAGATTAAAATTTTCCCCACTGTCTTTGGCTACCTATCAAAGTGGAGAATTAAAACAAGAATATCATAATTTTGGGATTCTTTATTTGTAAAAATTTGTAGCTGAAGGTGTTTCTAAGATAAGATGCACTTAAGTAAGGGAACCCTTCTTTGTTTTGCGTGAGCTCTTGATGTTTGCCACACTTGGCCAACCCTAAAAAGTCTGCGCCTCAGTTTGGCCACTTTTCTGCGGATGTTTGCCAAACCCTTCAAATATGTGGACCACTGGAAAGTCGACTGACGGGAACAGTTATTCTCTCCTCCCACTTGCTCCTACAGGAAACAGTTTCGCTCTTTGATAAATCCAGATCCAAGAAGAAGCTGAAAGTTTGACATTTTTGCTCATTTTATCCGCAAAGAAAACGCGTAAAAAACTATGTTGAAACAATAGGCTACTAAAATGTTTTTGTTCAAAAGGTAGGCCGTATTCACAGGCAGATCATTATGATACCCAAAACATCCAAGAGCCATGTCTTCAATCCAGTTGCTCCACAAAAATACAATTTAACCTTAAAATTGACACATTTTTGACAGTCGTTCGGCTACGTTTTGCCTTCAACCAGTCCAAAAGTAGCGTTTCTGTTACAACACCAGGCTCTTCCACTGTAGCGTCAATTTCAGGAGAAATAAAGACTTTAAATGATGTTTGAGTCACTTACTGGATTGTAGAAAGGTATCTGCTGATTATAAGCCATGATTCGGAAGTAACATAAGCTGGTTTGCCAACCTATTTCAGGTGTGGTTATGGTCCAGGATGAGAAATGGTGAAGACATTCGCTTTTTTATGTCTACATATAAGTTTCGATTCCTCAACAGTAGGCGGTGTCTAACGGACCCTATCAGCACTATACAGCTCACATAGAAAAGGAAGCGCTTGTACAGGTTTGTGTCCTGAGTATCTGGGTCAAACAGTCATGACACGTTTTAAACATTATTTTGTTGTTTGCATTGTCGAAACGCGCTTTGGTGCCCCCTGCTCGACTTTCATATTCTTATTGTGGTTATTCGGTATTTAATTTGATATTTTTACTCACAATTTTCTTCCTACCTCTGCGTATGTGTTGGAGTTGGACAGTTTGAGGCCACAGTGAAAACATTTGCACAAGCCTGTAAAATGAGACAAAGGAGAAGAAGGATTCAGAAAACACAAGAAAGTTTGTGTGTGTAAAATTAAAGTATAAACATTGATATTTAAGTCAGTTCACTTAATTTAGGTTTATTTTAGATTTTACAAACTCAACTTTGTCACCCAAAAGTCAGATGTCCTCATCCCCTGCAGCATTCAGGGAAACTCAGGTGAATTTTAAATCCGTAGACTGCTCAGGTGTCCCAACTTATCATCAGTGGATCAGCTGAAACAAAGCATGTTGGGGACTGTGGTCCCCACTTTGGTCATGGGTTCAATTCCTGTCCTGACCATATGCTGCAAGGGTTTTTTTTGGTAAGGGTTCCCATTAGCACCATCACTCACTCTCATAAATATTTGATGATATCTGCACCTTAAACAGGATATTGACTAACATCGTCAAAGGTCATAACTCTTTGAGCAAAGTTACAGCTACTCTGTCACCTCAGCTGATTCAGGCTCTCATTTCATTTGTATTGACACAGTTGTGAAAAAGATCTTTTTGCACACAGATCTGTTGAAAACCCTCCAAACTCTGGAGCATGGGATTTAACTTATGTTATAAAATATCACTCAAGAACATCATGCCCTTTAACATGGAGGCATCCTTCAACAGAGGGGTACAATGGCAATGAGAGAACAAACAGCGACCAGTCATAACACTAGAAACACCTTGGCAAACCTGATTCTGACTCTGGAGAAGTTATGAAATGCTTTTCAGTGCAAGTTTCTACTGAATTGTACTGAGCCTCCCCCTCGCTTCCTGTCATTGTTTCCTGCAACGTCAGTGGAGTAACACAATCAAGAAACTTGATACAAAGCTTGGTCTTATGACTGAGAGTGTTTTAAAGGAATATGCACAAAGAAAAAAAACTGTATAGAGGTTAGATTTCTGTGAAGTGTCTGTCATAGTCACTTTTATGTTGGCCTGATTGTAAAGTCAGGTCTTTCAGAGCTGTTAAGAACGGATGCAAATCATATAGTCAACAGATTATCTACTTTGTGTGGACTTTGGACTAATAAAACTTGTATGCGGTGGACAGTTCACCCTTCAGTAAACCTAAATTTAAAGCTCAGTATTGAAGTTTTGAATTTAAAGAGTTTCAGTCTTCTCAAGGGGATAAATAATTTCAAAGGGAGTCATGAGATAGCAAAGTGCACAGAAAGATCCAGAATAAGGCCTTTGGAAGTCGTGCTTTTTTAAAAACTTTAACTCCCAAACAGAATTTGGACTGGGTTGAAGTATGTTGAAGTTTATTTTAACGTAGTCTACTGACACTAAGGTGGAGAATATATGACTTTTAATAGGTGGAGGGTTCTTGCTTTAGCAGTGTAGTATTGTCTGGCAGAGGATCAGTGACAACACACTGCTCTTTATTCAGGAAATGACAGTTATGATGGTTTTGTAAGAGGAGTTAATGAGTGATCAGTCATGTGTTTCACACGAGTGTATGTGCTACTTTTACTGCAGTCACACAGAAACATGCAGCAGACAAGATTTGCCCATCATCTCAATTTGTGTCAAAGACTAAGACAGTAACTCAGCTCTAAGAATGCAGAATAATTGCTTAATGACTAAAAGTCTGTGAAGTTTTCTTCAGAACTAAAAGGTCAGAGACCCCTGACTTTACAGTAATTTATATTTCAGTGCCCCTTACTTCTGTTTTTTTATCTCAACTCAGAGAACAATCTTTCAGTTCCTCTTGAGCACTTTCTATCCCAGGCTCCACAATGACAAGAGAGTCAAATTCAACAGTGTTCACAAAGCAATCAATAAAAATAAACAGTTGAACTAGTTTGGAAATTGAGGAAATATTTTTTAAGTTTGGTATGAAAAAAAAAAAAAACGGAAATGACAAGTGATATGAAGTAGATCCTTGAAATACTTGGCTTGTAATGTTAGACCCCTAAATTAACCCTCAATCTGACAAGCACACATCTGTTCACTGTAGTTTCAGTTTACATCTCCTCACACATTTTTTTAATTATTATGATTAATTTATTTATCTGTTTGTTTGTTTGTTTGGTTGGTTGGTTTCAACAGTATTTAGACTATTAGTGAATTCTCAATTGGCTAACTTGATATTTAAGAAGCCAGCAGTCCAGTATGGTGTGCATGAACACAGACAACTGCTAGTTAGGGATTCTGGAATGTACAGAAGCAACTTTTACCAAAAGTACTTTAAAACTTCTCCAAATTATTGAGGAAGTAACCCTTTGTGCTGTGGGGGAAATCTTGTGTTTCATTATTGACACTCTTTGTCTTTCAAATGAAGAAGGGTTTGCTCAATGTTTTGTCTAAAATTAGAACAGAAACAAACCTAAACCCAAAACTAACCAACCTTGTCTGTAGGTGATGTGATGTTTTATCTTGCAGGCTGAAATGTAAATGCACTTATCAAGATCTGAAAGTTTTCTCTTAATCTTTTTGAATTAGAAAAATTTGATAGTGAGACCCTCCCAGATACTTTTCATCAGCTGCAGGTAAATGGAGTAATGGCAATATATATAATGGTCATTCATAAACCTTTAACAGTGCATTTGAATACCTTTTTAATCAATGAACAAAAAGTACACAGAGTAAAAACTTAATTATCTTCAATCATTTAGACCAGAATCTTAGAAAGTTTATTGACTGCCTGTACAAAAATACTCTACACAACCCCCCTTAACAAAAAACAAAACACAAAACAGTCCTTGAAAAACAGTTTGCTCACAATGGTACCATTTCAAAGGTCTCACATTGGACCCTTTTTACATGAACACTGAATACTAAATAAAACATCCAGCTCTGCATGAGTACAAATACTCCAGTTTTCTGGTGCAATACATTCAGACTCATCAAGAGAGTGTTAATTGTACACAAATACACACACACGCACACAAACACACAGCAGCCACATCCTGTTCTTTACCACAACCTGCTCACAAGAAGTACAAAAATGCACACCTGTTACTGTTTCTTAGTTTTTTTTTTTAACTCTACAAAACATTTTCCAGCTTGTTCTTTAAAACTTAGTGGTGGAGGTTTTAATCAGTGATTTGGTGACCTACTTTTATGTCAGCAGCAAAAATGCTGCTTCATTGATGGGTTTTGTTACCAGAAAACATGCACTCATACATGTACAAGAGGAAATCAGCAAGGAGGTAGGAGATACAAATTTAGACGAGGGGTGCAAAAATCAATACCCATCAGAAGATCCTCATAAACACTTTAAAATTCAAAACAATGATACTGATGCTGTTTTGTTACTTGCTTTATGCGGAGAATATTGTTTTATGTTTGTTTCATCCACTCTGTCACTGCAGAAATTAAGCAATCATTCTAGGACTGCTGCATGGTGTAAGAAAACTTTGAAGCTTTGCTGTAACCCAATCTGAATCCATCCCTCTGCTGAGATCAGGGAAATTCCTGATTCTTTTGGTACTATTTTGTATCCCAATCCTAACTACCCAATCAGAGAAAAAGTGTCTTTTCCAATTTATATATTGGTTTATTTGAGACAGGGACAAATGCATGAAAACTTCTTTAAAGTGCCATGCATAAGGGTTTCAGGTCATAGCTCATTAGCAGCTCCTGCCCCTGGTTAGTCTTAGATCGCTGTATGCAAGAGGATACGGGACTACAATAGAGATGGAAACCAGTGTAAATGAAAATGAATGTTAGATTTGTCTTCAGTTAGGTACTGGTCAAAAACTGTGTTTTATTAGTTTGCATTTTATTCTTGTTAGTTGAGAAACTGTCTTATTTATCAAAATCCATTCAATTCTGGCACAGGATGCTCAGCAGAGCCTTGGCTTATTCTTTCCATAGAGGTGATGAGAAACAGATGTTCACTGTGTCAGTGCACAACAGTTAATCACTTCAATATTTTATCTTTTGGCAACTTTAATGCATTAATATTCACACAGACATTTAGACTGCATAAGTCATCTTTTCAAACTGGAAAACTGCGTAAGACATTATTTGTTGCATCCATTAGACAATACTGGGTTTACTTGGCTTAAATTGGTTTCCACAGGCACAGTATTTTTCAAATACTGCACCATATCAAAATAAAGTGTAAGATAGAACTTAAATTCTTAAAACTAGCAAAAACCAAAATGAATTCAGCAGTACCAGCCTGGTTTTGCGAGCCCTTTCTACCTGGTTTTGATATGAAAACTGTATCTGAGGAAGATGGAAACAGATTGAGATTAAATCAGATAAAAAATATGTCTCTATAGATAAAAATCTAAACATTATATTAATCTAGTTAAAAAAAAGAGCCTCTGTGGCCCTCAGCTGCAGTATTTGTACATGTAAGGACAGTGTGCATGAAGGCCCTGATGGCAGAGGTCTCTCAGACAGTGATGATGATGATGGTGATGATGATCCCACAGCCTTCATCAAGAGGAGAAATGCAGCGAGGAGGAGACAGACACCAGTAGGGGTGGAAGACAGGCGAGCACAGAGAGAGACGAGGAAATGCAGGAAAGAGTTTGAGGAGACAGTTCAGCGGAGATCAGTCAGCAGCCGGAGGAGGAAATAACAGAAAGAGAGAGAGAGGGTGAGTAACAGGATGGAAAGTCTGGAAAAAAAAAGATAAAGAAAGCAAAAAACAGGCAAAAAGAAACACTAACATTTTCCCTATAGTACAAAACAAAAATCACATTAGAAAAGGTTGTTCGTGTAAGTTCATACTCAGCAGGACAAATTCATAGTATTCACATTTTTTTTACAAAATCTTATTTACAACATTTTAGTCGATGGTGTTAAGGCTCCTCATTTTTGCCTACAAAGACTCCCTTTGTGGATGTTTGTATGAATGTTGCAGGGCTGGCTCCTCTCGGGTAAGGATGAGGATGTGGGAGGAATAAATCTTTTCCCGGTTCTATGATACGTACTCAGTGGTCTTGCCGAAGTGTCCGGGGTGAGACAGCCTGCGGTTCAGTTTAGGGAGTTTCTCCAGCATGTCAGACAGCTGGGTAAACGTCGGCCTGCCGTCAGCCTCTGAACACCAGCAGGCTGAAAGGATCTCCTGTTGAGACAAAGTGAGGACAATTAAATACCATCACATTATGATTTCTTTTAACCGTCTTGGAGATATATATATTTTTTGCATCTGTTACTCTTCCTCTTTGCAACCAGGATCAGAACTACCTTGCCAGTCACTGTTAAACTGATAACACCAAAGTGTATCATCAAAACAAATTAAGTAAGTTACAACCAAAGTCATCTAAGTTTATTTGGCAGTAAGGGTGGCTTCTTCAGCGCACAATAATATAGTTTTAAACGGAGAAATATGAAGAATTTATAGCTTGTGTTTTACAGGACTGGTCTAAAGTTCAAACCATCACATAAAAACAACTGAAATGATTTCAACTTTAAATACACCAAAGTCAGAGTTTAGCAGCTGTTTCAATTTCCCAACATTTTTTTTCAAAGGACAGTAAATGCACTTCTGATTATATGGAAGCTTGGCCTAATAAGGAGTAAAAAAAAAAACAAATAAAAAAAAAAAAACTCTGGCTGCCACTAAGATACAGAGCTCATAATAATAATAATAATAATAATAATAATAATAATAATAATAATAATAATAATAATAATAATAAATTGTATTTATAACGCACTTTTACAAAGATGCTTCACAAAAATAAACACATTTTAAAATACAGAAAATGTTGAGTAATAAGACCAACAGTGTAGACGGTTAAAAAAGAAACAATATGTAAAGACAATAAAAGAACAGTTCATAGGTTAAAAGCCCATTTAAAAAGGTATGTTTTTAGGAGTGATTTAAAAGTATGGGGGTCAAAGCTGCTTAAAACTTTGGTTTATGATTTTGAAGATTCATCATCTAAGCTTTAACCATTTCTCAATTTTACCCTAACCCCTCATTTTTTGACGCTTGTTTGCCTCTTGGAACAGAGTTGAAAGAGGAAAACTGTCTCAGGCTACATAATGATAAATAATAATAACAAGGAAAAAAAAAAACATGTGCATTTCTTTTCTCCCTTGAAAAGTAATCTAACCGATAATTCTCACCTCATTTGGGGAGATTTCTCACAACACTGTATCAGCTTGTCTTTAAAATATATTCCCATTTGAGGACAATAAACAAAGTTTGATTTTTCATGTAACTCACCAGTTCCCCTGAGTATCAGGAGGGAGCTGCTAGTTATCAGCAGGATGTGATCTCTGCTGTCTTGTATTTTGGGCCTTGATCGATGTGTTAAACAACTCCCTTTCCTCTCACTACATTGTAATTTTGTGGCTTTAACGTATCGAAAACTTTGAAATTTTAATTGATGTTTGGTTCAGCAGACTCACCGTGACCTCTTTCCCCAAGTTGGCGTCTGCTAGAACTTTCTTTATTCCCTCGCCGCTTCCCGCCAACCAGATTTTCGCTTCCACAGGAAGGTCAGTGAAAGGCCAGTCTCCAACCTGCAGCTCGTACCAGATGGTGCTGGAAATAATCCAAAACACAAGAATCAGATTGAAAACGTTTGGACCCTGTTGTGTCATGTCTAGTATTAGTCTGATGAATATTTGCTGGATGTTGTAGGTGTGCAAATGGACATTTATAGGTTTTGAGAGATGAGTTGGACAAAAACTAAATTTTGAAAATATCACATCCAACTCTGGAAATGTGATTAAAATTAACATCTTTGTTTTCCTTCTCAATTTACTGAACACTTTATTTTATCCTTATGTGTCTTTAAAATAAATCCACATAAATGAAGTTTGAGAGAAATAATAATCATCACATACCCAAAAGAATAAACGTCTGCAGCTTTTGAGAACGGCAGCTTATCCTCGTTCTCCTCTGGGCTCATTTTTTGGACTATTTCTGGAGCGAGATAAGAGATCCAGCCCCGAGGTATCCGCAGCACGTTCTTTCTCCTAAACACACAAATATACATTTATAAACACAACAGTCACATCTTAGCAGAGATACAGACTGACACATCATGCATCTTCTCCTTACCTTCCTTCCTGTACAACTCCAGACATGCCAAATAGACCAAAGTCTGTGATCACCACCCTGTTTGTGTTGTAGAAAACATTCTTCGACTTCAGGTCTTTGTGGATGATGTCTTTGGCGTGCAGGTAACCCATCCCCTGCAGAAGACATAGCTGAGATGAATATATTTCTATCTCGTCAGTTTCAGCATCACTTAAAGACCCTGCTGCATGACTCTTTTCAAAATATGAGATTCCATTGAAAAAAAAGTTATTTTGAGAAACAGTTACACATGCAGACCACAGGAATTGCTGATCTACCTTTATACATTATTTGGTAACTCTGATGCTTTTATGGTCTGTATTGATCGAAGAATATATTCATCAAAATAATCAACAAAAAACAATACCAGAAAATAATCGATTAACCGAGCAGTAGTCCAGCAACTCTGAGGTAAAATAACCGTTTTTTTGCATTGAGTTTGGTTAGCAGTTTAAAGACTGGTGCAGCAGCTGTGTACAGTAAAAAAGTGAGGTTCCTACCTTTACAATGTCCTGTGCAATTTGTCTGATCTTGTTGATGTCCAGCAGATGACCTCTTTCTCTTACAACAGAGTATAGAGTCATACCTTTGCAGAAACTAAAGACAAAAAACACAAGCTGTCAAAGCTATAGAATTTCCAAAACCACACATCAAGTGTTAAAGCGCAAAATTAAATAAAGTTATCAAAAACATACACTTTCAGCTTGAGCTCAGCTGGAAAGTAAGCTACCCTCACAATAAAGCTTCAGTTCTGCGGTAGGTTTGCACACGTCTCACCACTTTGATTTACTTTATTAAAAAAATATGACAAATATAAGATTTCAGCGTTTCTTACTGAAGACAATATGTGAAATAAAAGATGTGTGACCCCCAAACAGAAAGGTTCAGACTGAGGCTGCAGTGCAAATATTTCACTAATTCAGATCCACATGTAAAAGGGGCCTCAGTCAGTGTGTCTACCTGGTGATGATGGCGAGGTGGGGCGGGGCCATGCAGGCGCCCATAAACAGCACCACGTTCTCGTGCCGGGTCTGCCTGTAGTTCATCACCTCTTTCTTGAAGACCTTAAGGTGGTCCTGGTTGTTTCCATCGATCTCCAGCAGACGGATGGCCACCTCGCCGTGCCAGCGGCCTTTGTGAACCTTCCCCCAGCGACCCTGCACAAACACAAAGTCACGTCAGCTCATGTTTTCCTGCAATGTCACTAAGTACCAGTGCTCCACTGTGATTCTATCTAGAGGTATGTATGCTTCTTTTATTTCTGTCAACTTCCACTTTTATTCCTCTATATTTCTCTGATAGTTGTGTACTTTACTGCAATACAAAGTCATTTTGTGGTGTGATGTCTTCCGTTTTGCTCATGTTTGGCTCCCAAGTACTTAATCCACTGCTCCAGTGTCTCTGTTTGCTCACCTTTCCAATGAGCTCCCCCAGCTGCAGCTGCTCGTACGGGATGTCCCATTCCTGCAGGTAAACGCTGGTCTGACTGGCCTTACGGGAAATCGGGCCCCTCCAGCGGCCGACGTTCGCACGCCGGATGGATGAAGGCGGCAGATCCTCCAGCCCGTCTTCATCCCCTTCCTCAGGGCAGAAGCTCGTTGTTCCAGAGCTTTGATCAGCTGTTTCCTCCTCAGCATGGAGGTCTTCCTCCACCCCATCCTGAAGCAAAACAGATACATACAGTTACATTCAGATTTATAAAAAGTCATTTTATGTTAAAAACAAAACAAGGGAAAGAAAACTTCACATGCTGTTGTAAAGCATTATTGAAATTTGTTTTTTCTAAGATGATTTTTTCTACAAGACAACACATTTTATGTTGAAAATAAACAGTTTGCGTACAAAATGCTCAATTAAAATGTTCAGAAATGGACTCAAACTCATGGATCTAAGTTCAGAGATCATTAAAATGTCAAAAACAAGTATCATGTGTAATGTGCAGTAATCATGTGATGCTTACAAATCTCACAAACTCCAGATCCCTCTAGCCCTCAGCTGTGATGGTTTTAGGAGCTTCTTAAATGAGAAAATCTTAAATATTAGAGGGAAAATTAGCCCTCTATTGCTCCCACTAGGTTTAGATCCCTCAATCAGTTCTGAAATTATTGAGTATAGTAAAACCTAATGAATACGTCAATTATTTTTTTACCCATCTACCTTCCTGAACTGAATTCCACTGTACAAACGACCAACTTGTTTCTAAGACCAATTCCCACCAAGCTGCTGAGAGATGTCTTTGCCATAATCAGCTCTTTACTCAGCATGATTAGTGTGTCTTGAGTAACAGGATACATTCTACAGACTTTAAGACCTCGTCTTAAAAAACAACAACACTAGATTCAGGCACTTTGGTGACTGTGGGCCACCATCAAACCTTTCACCTAATCAGCTCTGTGCCTTTCTCAGCAGCAACGCTTTATTTAAGTATTTTCAGTCAGGATTTAGAGTCCACTATAGAAGTGAAACCGCACTACTGAGGGGGACTGATGACCTACTGATGGCCACAGATTGCAGTCCTCTCTCAGTACTTGTTTTGTCAGATCTCAGTGCTGCTTTCGATACGACTGACCATCAGATCCCGTTACAGAGGCTTAGCAAACACATAGGTATGACTGGAACTGTTTTAGCTTGGTTTATATCAGTTTGTGCATGTCAATGAAAATTCTTCAGCGCATACCAAGTTTAATTGTGGGTTTCCACAAGGTTCTGTGCAAGGACCAATCCCTTTCACTTTATATCTGCTTCCTCGGTGTAACATTATCAGAAAATCCCTTAGAGAGAAATTTTCTAAGGATATAACTGCAGTAGATGGCATCAGTCTAGCCTCCAGCACAATCTCTAAAATGGACTTTTTTCACCTTAAAAAAACATTATATTGTTTGGCTTCATGGAATCATGTTCAAATTTTTAGGTGACTCAGTTCAATAATACGAAACCTAATACTGATACATGCAAAAAGTATTCCTATGCAAAACAAGAAAGTGACTCTGTTTCACCTCCTCATTTTGTTTATTTAAAGCACAGAGGATGTGAGCGTGAGTGTGTGTGTGTGTGTGTGTGTGTGTGTGTGTGTGTGTGTGTGTGTGTGTGTGTGTGTGTGTGTGTGTGTGTGTGTGTGTGTGTGTGTGTGTGTGTGTGTGTGTGTGTGTGTGTGTGTGCGTTTAGGTGGTCTCACCCCTCCTCGCTCTGCTGCTGTGAGCTGGGTCTCTGTGACAGCAGCTTGTGACACTCTGACAGAAAAACAAGACAAAAATAACAAACCACAACGTTTATTTTTAGATATTCAAAGCTCAAAATTTTGACTTTACAATTAAAACATTTGTTTCAAGTACAGTATTAGAGTATTTGTGTTAGCCTACATTGTATTACATGTCTGGATGTATATGTCAAATAATGTAAAATAATGCTGCAGAGATCTGTCACTGTTTTATTGTAAAGCACAGTTGCATTATGCAATGAGCAGGATTCTTAAGTGTAGAAAGACACCTTGTTAGCACCCTCTGCTGGACAGACTAGGTTACTGTTTCTGTAAGATATATTCAATACAATTACGAAGCTTCTAAAAAAGCATGTGCAAACACAAACAAACCAAGAACGTTTTACTTGAAATGCTCACATAGGAGGTAAAATTAAGGGACACTATTGAAAAGCAGGTGGGATGTCACAGAAATGCGTCATACCACTGAAAAGCAACCACGTGTGATCTTGGCTTACGTAATGAAGCTGCTTCAGTGTCTTTTTCCTGCACTACATTTTTTCCATCCGTTCAATAGTACTGTAAATGCATCAAATTACACATAGCATTCATAAGAAGATAAAAGTGGTCATCACATTGTCAAACTCTGCTTTACCTTACATTTTTGATATCATAGTACGTGTCAAATCTTTATTGGACCCTTGAACAACAGAGAAAACTCGACACTGTCAGAGATCTGTGTAAATAAAAACTTTTGAGTCGTTGAAGTGTTACTGACTTACTCAGACTCGTGGCTGCTTGCACTGAGGTGAACAGCAGGATGTGAAGAAGCAGGAACATCTGTAGAAAAAAAACACATTAAAGTTATACTCATCTTTAAAAAATGTCGCATGGATATATGTCTGCATGTCAGAGGTTATTGCATATTGTAAATATGCATCGCTGCGCAATAAAAACAGGCATTGTTCCAGGCGTTTACTTGATACTTTTGCAATTTCAGTCCTTAAATAACAAGAAAATCCATTGGATAAAACTCAAAGATGTCATAGGATATATTATGATTGTTTTTTGGAAATTGCACAGTAACAAGAAAACACAAAATACTGTTTAGAGAAAGCAGAAACAGAAAGGATTTTAAAACTAATTTTTAAAAAAAGCAGCATTGCTGGTGAAGATTTTTTGACTCCAAAAACTCCACTTCCCATAATTCAACAATACCGTCAGTGAATATTAAGTAGATGTGTTTACCTGGGAAGTGGAAACGGTCATCCCGACAGCCCTGCGGTGATGAATGAGGAGGGGGGGTGGCGCTAACACTGGGCGGGTTACTCTGCTGGAGGAGAGCGGGGGAGGAGGGGGTGGAGGAGGTGGCTGAGGAGGGGTTACTGCTGGAGTCCATCTGGTTTATACTGGGAAGAGGCTCCTGTAAACACACACACACACACACACACACACACACACACACACACACACACACACACACACACACACACACACACACACACACACAAACACAGAGGTATAAGTCAAACTAAACAAAGATAACCACATTTAAGTCCGCGGTAATAAACTTGAACCTGTACTTACTCTCTTTGTCACAGCTTTGGGTAAAGTCCCAAACTGCGGCGGGATCACTGCTGTGTGATCAATACGATTGTTGATGTCTGATGGAACTGATTCAGCTCTGCGCATCCTCGGCACTGCAGACCAGATTTAATAAATATGAATTTGAATAATAATATAAACAAATAATATCAAAGAGAAGCTTGCAAATTTAGAGTGCGCCTATGTTGTTCTTGTAAAAATTCATCTTGAATGAACAAATCTAAATAAAACTCCTATGAAACTTTCTTTCTGGACATAATGAAGCGCAACTATGAATATGACAAGTTTAGGGTTTACTGTTTTTCATATCTTTTAAGCTTGCCATTTTCTTTTATGATAAATCCATCAGTTAAATGGATTAAGTACAGAATTTTGGTTCAATCCAATAACCTAAAGCAGATTTACTCAAATCTCAGTTTGGTTTTTATCCACAACCAAGAAATCATCTGGGGTTTTTTTCCTCTGACAAATATTCATATTTGGCAAGCAGTAAAACGAGAACTTGTACTTCAATAAATCACTCAATATTATGATTAGATTTTCAAAATAAGAAGGAACTTAACTTGATGATTGCCAATTTTTTTAAATCAACTATTATAGTCAACTATGAGGAACATTTTCCAGATTCTTTGTTGTGAAAATTTATAACTCTCAAAGCAGCTTTTTTTCATTGATACATTGAAAAAAAGAAAAAATATATAAAAGAAAAGTAAGTGTATCTTACATGTGAGGAATGATATCCGACATGAGGGAGCATCTTTGGTGCATTTGTTGTGACACTTTAACCTGTAAAGAAGAGAAGCAACGTTAACTCATGAGAGAAATACAGACTAATGAAAACTCGTAGTATCTGAGTTTACCATTTATGATCTCTTACTTGCAGTGTTTGCATTTAACGCCAAACATCATGCTCTTTCGACACACTTGACATGTCTGAGAGAGCCAGGACTTTGTGGAAAACCTACAAAGAAGAAAAAAGTTTTGAAAAGATGATCATGGTAACAAAGAAATTTCAACAACTCTTCTAGAGTTACATGAGTTAAAATTTGTTGGTTGAGAAAAGAACAATGAGACGAGTGAGAAAATAAAACCTGGTAATAAATTTCAAACGCCAGTTTATATCAGTGACTTTGTTCAAATTTTTCTATTTCTGATGCATTAAATAAAAGTAAAAACATGACGTTATTCAATCAAATCAGGTTCTCTAGGCTATTTCATTGGCTTCTCATTGCTATTTCTCACTAATATCCCTACGAACAACCACTTACTTAGAGGTAAACTGATTTCCTTGCCACATCAATGACTTGGGGAAAGGTAACACAGAAAATTGCTCTGTTTTAGAAATAGCAATATGGTTGAGGAAAATAAGAAAGGAAAGCAATCCCTGGTTTAGGATTTTTAATTTTGTAACTAAAACTGAAAAGGAAAAGAAACCCCAATACAGGTATGGTGGGGGGAAAAAAAGAGGTTTTTGTTGTAATACTCTTTTAGCCCATAAGAGGGAAACATACTATCAGTCTGTGATTTAAATAGGACTGAAAGTAAATAGGACTGTGCATTTAAGTCATTCCCAACCAAAATTAACACATATAAACTGGTGTATAATTAACTTTTGACAAGCAATAAGTAAAGAGGTGAAAGTCTTATTTTAGGGTATCAATAAATCGATCTTAGCTTGTCTTCCATTTCACTGATAAGGCTCAATCTGGTATGATTCTATACAGAGATAATGATCTTTTTGATTGTCTCTACCATGAAAATAAATAGCACTTTTACATCTGTCCTACAATTCAACATTATCTAATATGGGGAAAAAGTGACCTCAACATCAGCCCACTCTCACTAAAAACGTCATGACCACATCTAAATTCAACCCAACTGTCAATTTTTCCATTCAGGTCTTTTTTTCTGACAGGGCAGGAAGTCAGCAGGTGTGAAGGTAAACCAACCTGTGTGTTACAGCGAGGCCGATGTCTCTCCTCAGAGTCTGAGGGGAGCTCCTGTGCGTGCTCACACCTAAAGATAACATTGAAATATTCCCTTTAATACGTATCTAGAAGCACTGATTTACACCCAGAGCAGAAGTCTGTCATTAAAGACTCACCGTCTAGCAGCAGAGGGGGGTGTGCCGTCATCATGTAAGGGGCAGAGGAGGGGACAGGACCTGGTGTTCGTGCAGACAGCGGAGGTGAGCGTAGAGCTGGATCCTCAGTAGAGTGCCCTGAGCCATTTATGTGAATAGCAGCCAAAACTTTGTTCTTTCTACCGGTCCTGCAAGAACACAGAGAGACGAATTAACACTGCAGGTTCTCTAATACATCACACAGTCCAGTGCAGCCTTCAATACAGCCTGCACCTGTAAGGTCCAGACAGGTATCAGGTGAACAAAGGTGCACAGGAGTGACATACAAGAGTACATCTTTGGGTTGGCACTAACCAACAAGGACTAAATATGAGATAAGATAATTTATTCCTTTAATTGTCTCATGAGGGGAAATTCCAAATTTACAGCAGCGATAAATACAAAAGAGAACTTAAAGAATAAAGAAATTTAGGAGTTAAAAAGACATAAAAAAGATGTATACATGAGTGTTATTTACAGCTGTTATGTACATGTTGTTATATTATGGTTGAAATTGAGATATTTCTAACTATTTACACAGAATAAGCATACGTGTGTATAGAATAGATGTGTACAGGATATACATATAAATATGGTGAATTGCACACTGAGGTTTCTGTTGTGGAGTCTAACAGCTGTAGGAAGGAATGACCTCCGATACCTCTCCGTCACACACTTCGGGTGGAGCATGCTAATGTTTTGGGAATATTTTGGGAATGCAGTAGTAGCTTTAATGGCTGCATTATTGACAAAGACTGATTAAAGTGTGTCCACTAATAGTTCTGTTTTTTTACTGTTAAGAGTTGACTTAATAAAAAGGAACCCTATAGATGATGACCTATTTGGTAAAGAAAACCTGATCTCATTGACAAAATCTATAATGGTACCTTGAACTGCACAGAGGGGTTGCTGGTCCACAACTGCCTCTGTCAGTTATGTGGGTTACATGGGTGTATCAAAACTAACTGAACCTTTTACAGCACCCAAACACAAACTAACTAACCAACAGGGGCAGCATTAGACTAGTACTTCCTGGATGTTCATAAGAAAAATAGTACTGTTTTTGTTAATGTAGTTTCGTGACAATGAATGTGGTGAACCAATGGCTTTTCCTCACAAATAAGAAGTGAGCATTACTCTTACAGAAAGATGCAATTTTATCTCATCATGAAAACTTTCCTTGAACTGGGCATCCCTGATTGAGTTCATAGAAAGAAAAAGAAAACAAATACGCAAACAAATTTAATTAAATCAATTAATAAATTAATTAATTTAACTCCATGATTAAATGTGATGACAGTTTCTTTCGCTTTTAATTTTGAAGAGGCTGACCTCTAATCAGCATGTCTTTTCCTAAGTATTTATTTCACTGCAGTATATGAAAAAGAACTGGAAATTTGGTTTCATAAACAGGAAGATAAAAAGATTAATCCTTCTGGTAGTATTTGAATCAATCTGGGAGCTTGATTTTGAAAAGTTTCCAAATGATGATCGTACATAAAGTTAGACCTTTACTTGTGTATTAAAACCACGCTGTGACAAGTTGTATACTGTAATGATCTTCAGTTTTTTTTAAGCTGCTCAGAGGTTCCCTCTGAGTTAGAGAAAGTTACCAGTCACACAAAATATTTTTGTAACAAATGAAGCTTCAGTCTTCATCAGTCTACAACCAATCCTCCATATTCTCTATAATCTTATATCCAGATTTCTAAAACTTTGAAACATCTTTCACCAAATATTAAGACACTGAATTCGTCAAACTTGACTCTGTAATATTAAAATCAGCTTGTTAACTTTCAACCATCTCCTGTTTGTTTTATACATCAAAGTGTATCTTTGTTTTCAATCCCACCTTTGTGCTGCTGGTTCCTCAATACGATTTGCCAGCTGGGACTCCTGGCTCTTACTCCTGGTCAGGTTGATAGTGGGGAAGAGCTGCAGCAGTTTGCGTGAAGGCGGTGGTGGGGTCTGGCAGGACTTGAGGGTGCGGGACTTTGAGGCTCGGCTGGGTGGAGGCGTGCTGGGTTCAGGAGAGAAGGCGTCTGTCATTTCTTCTGTTGATATGTACGTCCTCTGTTCCCCTGAACAAGGCACCACTGATATGGAGATGGAGCGGCCGTGGTTGGTGATGGGCTGAAGGGGGACAGTGGGGCTGAAGGAGCTGGAGGGGGGGCTGGTTGGAGAGAAGGCATCGCTGTCCTGTGAAGGGTCAGAGCTGCAGGAACCTGCGGGCAAGAGGAAATAGATTAGTAAATTTCACTAACCGACTCTTATTCTTCCTAACATGCAGAGCAGCCAGCGTACCTGCATCACCCGTTTCATTGGGACTCTTTAAACAGGAGAGGGCAGCAGTGAGGCGTGATCGGTCGTCTGAGCTGGAGCCCAGACGTCTCATGGTGTCCTGCAGCTCACAGCTGGACGTCTGCAGCAAACCGTCCTCTGAGAGCTTCCCTGCAACAGCCTGCAGGAGACACAGAGGTCAAAGCTGTTAAACACTGGAACACTTGACAGAGGACCTGATTTTACCTTAAAAAGTTCCCTCCTGGCTGTGTGACACATTGCTGTAAAACTACACTTAGATACATTCACGTCTCAATAACTTTTGCATGTCTTCTTTGTGGAGCTGATATCTTCATTTATCAAACACTTATGATAAGTAAGCTGTTAATGTTCAAGTTCTCATCTGGATAATGCTGATAATCTGATGCAAGTGGGCAATAAGTGGCACTACAAAAGTCTTCCTCACAGTCCTCTCACTAAGACTTCCTAAATCTGTCCTCATCTGCTGATACATTCATCACATACAGACAATATGGAAATAAAAAGATGGAGCAAAAAAGACATGGTCCTCTCTCAGGAAAACAGCCCTGGCAGGAGGGGGGACAAATTTTGCATAGCTTGTGATTTCAGTTGATCTGGCGTTGAAAAAGATAGAATTTATTGTAACTTAGCAACCATTTTCAACCAGTGTAAACATGTATCAATTACATATAACTTTAAAAACTTCGATAACCTGTTATAATTATCAAAACTGTGTCAATGTGCACGATTTGAATGGATTTACCCAGCATCTTCATATTCATTTATCAACTTTTGCTTTATACTTTTTCATCATGCTGCCTTTGAACAGTCATCTTTCTCTGAGACGGCCACAACCGAGAGCACCACTGATGAGATGACAGTCAGAGCTGCAATTTGATCCACAGCTTTAAAACCAAACTGAAAAATGTGCAAAATGATACTCAGCTCTGTAACCACTGATGATATCGCTGCTTTTCATTCTGAGTAACATTTTCTAGTTTCCCTCTGTGATGGACTGTGACTGTGTAATGTACTGCTCTGTGTTACTCTTTGATGTCTCTTGTGTTGTAGTCTGTCCACACATAGACTTTTTCTTCTTTTCTTACTTAACCTCCTTGAATCTTTACTTTTTTTGCCATATATTCAGTAACTTTCCTACTCTTTAAGACTTGTGCTTGTGTGTGACATTACTTTGTCACTTCTTGTGCATGTTGTCTTTTCATTCTTGTTCACAAAAAAGTTCTGCATTAAATAAATTGCTTGGAGCTGGAGAAGATATGGTTAGTAATACATTAAGATGATGAAGATACAAGTTGTGTTTTTTTGGGTTGGTTTACTTATAACTAGTTGCTTTTTTCTCTCAAAGATCTGGCAACACCAGCAGCTGTTGCCAGATGGATAAAACAAGAAATGTGTATTAACAGGATGATACTCCAGCTCCATTCATTGAGTCACCTCAGTGATGTCTCAGCTCTTATCAGGTTCAAAGGTGCTCAGACTCGACTGAACTCTGGCTTTTATTTTTCTCATCAATAGGTGTGGTTTGTGATTAGTTTACAGTTTCAGATACCTGAGTAAGCTTACACTCTGCCTGAGCAATGACATTTTTCCATATAAAGGACGTGTGAGAAAGAACGTTTGGAAAATTTTAGAGGCAGAGCTTCTGGAAATACCAAGAAATTTTTATTTTTTAGGGATGCATGTGCAGAAGATTTTCCCAGAGGTGGAAAGTAACTAATTACATTTCCTCTCAATACTATACTACAGAGGCTTTTTATGTACCTGACTCTTTTTAACAGATTTTGAAATTAGCAAATTAACCTTAACTCGAGAATTTCATAGATTTCATATTTCAAACTGCTTAGGTTGAATAAAAATGGGGAAAAAAAAAACATTTTTTGCTGATTGGGTAACCTCTACCCCCAGAGAATCAAATGCACTTACATGCAGCAAATAACATGCATGCTTGTGCTCAAATCAGAATAGGATTGTTGGGAATACATGAACAGATTCTGCCTTTACAAATGCAACAACAGTAAGACAGACAGAGAGCGACAACCTGATTATCCTCAGAACAACCTGAAGCTGTCCTGCAAGCTTAACAGTTAACACTCCCTTCTCTGCACAGTCTGCCATCACTTCAGAGCACAGGGATTCTCTATCAAGTGTAACACTGGAAAAAAAATTCACTAAAGTAATCAATAACTACACTCTGGATAGGTATATTGACGATAAAACCCCTTCACACATCAATGGCCTCCTGTGGGATTTACTACAGCAAGTAGTTTGGGAAATATGCTTATACTTAATTGGTATTATACCTTCCTTATTATAATCCTTATTATTATTATTATTATTATTACTATCATTATTATTAACAACAACAACAACAACAACAACAACAACAACAACAACAACAACAAAAATAATAATAATAGTAATAATAAAAATGCATTTCATTTATAGGCACCATTCAAAGCATTCAAGGTCACCTTTAAGGAAAAGGTTAAAACAAGACAAAAAAAATTTTGACCTACATAAAAAGTTAAAAACAATGAAAAGAAAAAAAAGTTCGCTAGTTTAATAAGATTTTATTAAGATTTTTGCAGCCTACCTCACTTTGGCATTAGCTCAATTTGTCAAGACTGTAGGTTGCTGCTTGGTAGCAAAGCAATGCAGCATCTTTAAAATATTCTCCAACATGCAAAGTTAAAGTCTGACAGTTGATTTGTTTTAGATTATTGCCTTCCAAGTGAGCGTCTCTGAGCATAATTTTTATAACCCTCAATAAACACTTTTAAAGTTTCCCATTCTTGCTGCGCAGGAGTTTTGTGCAAAAAGTGTCGAAGGCTTGTTTTTACAGACGTCAGGTTGAGTTCAGTGATGGAAGTTTAGAAAAGTTGGAGCTATTACTTGAACTTCTAAATTAACTCAGTTTAATAGACGTGTAATTGAATCTTCAAATGTTTTGATATGCCAGGTACCCTCCGTGCAGACAGCTCCGACAGAGTTTGTTCTGGCAGATAGGGGGGAGTATCTGGTGAAAAGTTGGGTCGGCTGACAGCTGGATTTCTGGGACATGAACATAAACTGTGGAATCAAAAAGCCAGGCTCACCATCAGTCTGTTCCTGAGCTGCTGTGAAATGATTCCTGGAATCTGACAGCAAACTGTGAAAACAGGGTTTACTCTGCACCGCCTCGACTCTACTGGAATGTGTTTTCTCAGCCCTGTGTATGTGTGTGTGTGTGCGTGTGTGTGTGCATCATGTATGTGTGTGTGTGATGGGGTAAAGGGATGGGCTTAATCTCCTGGCAGCTGGATGTTTCCTGCATTGTGTCCATGCTAAGTGAAGAGGACAGGCAGGGATAACAATTGGATCAGGATTTAGTAGTTATGAATCTGGGGGACAATATGCAGACTGAATTTGATGCTTTCTCAATGAACATCAGCATCCAGAATTCAAAAATTGAACTTGAAACTAATGTTAGGCTGAGTAGTCTGGGTTACGATGAAAATTACACAAGGATCTTCAAATTTTCTCTCCTTTGTAGTAAAATCCTGCTGGGTCACAGTTCAGAGTGAAGTGGGTTGAGTGTTTTACAAAGTAAAGTAAAATCTGAACCTCTCAGATGAAGGAAGGACATAGTGGTAGTCATCCATGCTATAATGCCATATGTCTGATCAAAATCACATCACATGTTGGTGTTATTCTATCCTTAACTCTTACACTGCTGATATCCCATCCAATGAGACAAAATAGGCTACACTGCAGAATGTGCCTGGTCCTGGTACTTCTAGACCTCAGTGTGGCCTTTGACACAATGGATCATTGTGGATCTTTGATTTTGATAGACGGCTGGCAGGGTAGTCTGATTGGCAACTGAGTAAAGAACGAATGTGATTGGTGGATTGCTGCACAGCACATGCAGAGTCGCATGCAGTGTATGTCAGTCAATTCAGCTCCAACATCGCAGGCTCTGCAATGTCACTATCACACACACATACATCGCGATGATGATGCTCAAAAAGATATACCATGCAGCTCTACTTCCAGATATCTAAGATGGCAGAGGAAGCAGATTTTGCATTTACTTATTGCATTTACATGAGGGATACAACAAAAGTTCTGCAAGCACAGGAGAAGCCAAGCGAGCAGATACTTCACTGATTAGGATTATTGGGTATCTAATGCTGAAAAAGCTCACCAAACACACTCAGGTGAGTGTTAAAATGCTTGAGTATGCTGCTCAGGTTCAGTCTATATGTGTGGTGTTGCAAGGTGTTCGTTTCCTTAGTTATAGGCTGATAAGTGTGCAGCCTCTTGCATGCATATGAGCATGTCTAAGGACTTCAAAGAGGCTCAGGCAATATTTACTGCACATGCGCTGCAGGGAGTTGTGGAACTGACAGCATTAATATCACATGAACTTTCTGACCAAGAAAAATATGCAGCATCTGCTTCAATGAAAATGAACAAATCTCTTCTCCTTTTTTTTTTTTTTTTTGCAACACCTGGAAAGGAAACTTATCAGCTGTGTGTGTGTGTGTATATCACGTCTGTCAAAACACACCGGAAGAGCGGTAATGTTTCACTTTGACACCAATATTTCTAAGCAGCAAGGTGCTTTCTGTAACTCCGACCACAAAGTTCCTGCTAAAACCCTCATAGCTCCATGACCTCTCCAGATTCTGAATTCAAAAAAACTAAACTACAAACTTTCCTTAACCAAGAATATTTTCTTCCAACTATGAAATTTTCAGACAAACATGATGTCAAAAAATAAAATAACTGCTTACACTGTTCTATCTCCATCCTAGTAGACTTCTGGTAAAAATTTGGCAAAAAAAAAACTTGAATGAATGAACAAGCTCCCTCCAAACAGACGTCAAACATGAAAAATTTAAGACCTAGAGACAAGGCCATAGCAACAGTAAAACTGTTCAAATGTTGACCAAACTAGATTTCAGGCATCCAAACTTGTGCATTCATGTATAATTTCTGTCACCAATAACCGCCAAAAGCCACTGTGACTGTTTAATCTAATGAGTCATGTTTCCTGAATCACCGTGGCCTGCCCTGAAGGACTTCCAGAAACAAAAATGTGTTCTGCTTCTTCATTAAGTCTCTTGTGTCTTTTCGGGTGTAACTTTCTCCAACATATTAAAAGACAAATTCTTTAAAAAGGCTTCCAGCAGTTACCACACTTTCATAACCTCTGTCACAAGTTTTGAGTTACTCTGATAATGAAAGATAAGTTAACCCATGGCCCCAGACATTCAGGAATTAAAACATTTTCTAGGCAGCCAAAAATAAATTAGGCGCAAAGTTCCTGGAGAGTGGAAATCACAAGATCTGTTTGGGATAAAATCAGACCTTTTTTTTGATCAGGGAGCATCTTCAGTTTATTACAATATTCCCTACAGGCAAGACCAACTGACTCATTTTTGTCTTTTCTTAGTCAGACACTGAGAGAGGAGTGTGTTAGATTGCAGGATGAGGGATGGAGACAGAAAGTGGTCATTAATGTGTATCATTCTGATATCGGTTTAGTTGTTGTCTTTATGAAATTGTTGATCTTTATACTGTAAAATACAGAATAAAAAAGGAAGACAGCAAAAAGGAGATGACGGTAAAGACCATAGACTGTATATAGAATGAACGCCATCTGCCTCCTCGCTGGGTGAAGCCACCAGGAAAACAGCACCCTCTGGTGACAGGCTGCAGTATAGGTCATAAATCCCGCCTCCGCCAGCCATCCTTATGAAGTTAAGAACAAACTTCAGAAATTAATCACACAGAGTATAAATTTTTTTCCCCCATTGTGATGTTGACATGTAGTTACTGTCAGACTGGTTTCCTCTTTTATTCTGTACAGCTCTGTTTTTAAAAGTAATTAGAGGGTTCATGTTTTCTATGATTGACACTTGATACATCCTATGAGCGTACGAAGATTGCGTATTTCACCCAGGGGATACGCTGTTTGAGCCGAGGGTCATCAGAGTGACTCTCTGCGACTCTCCCGCCGAATTTGTACAACGCTACTGCGCAATGTTGGTTTCAGGAAATGGAGAAAAAACGTGGAAATACCGAGAGCTTTTCAGCTTCAAATCCGTATACTGGCAGAAGGCAGAACCAAGTTGTCCATAGTGTATCGGTCTATGGTAAAGACACAGGAAAAGCAAGAAAGGTCAAAAGACACTAAACTGGACAGAGAAGTCCAGTAAATCAAGAGAACACACCAGTATAAAGCAACAAAATAAAATAATAAAAATGACCTCTTTCCATGAAAGGCCTTGCTAAGGCTGATTTCGAGGATACAGCACTTAGAAGCACAGGGTTTGTTTAACCACAGAAGATTGTGTAACTCTATCTGTCAAAGAATTCATCTTTAATCATCGTTCAAGGCATGATTATCTATACTTAACCTAAAAATTAATCAAAAACCAACTGCACTTTTTTTCCCTTCTAAATGCACCTTAATGAGATATCTTCAACAGTGGATGGTGATTGAAAATATGAGATCTCTGTTTACAAGCGACCAAAATGAGTTTCCTCAGAGGTTTGTTTGGCTGAGTCTTCGAGACAGATTTGGGACTCAGCAGTAGGGCCATTTGAGGCAATTCAGGTATCTGAACAGGAGACCCTTTTATCTAAGACATCCTGTTGCTGGTGAGAGGGATATCTGAGTAAATCTTTTTAGCCTGTAGATCCCAGGTAAATGGATAAAAAATGGTCAGGTGTATAAATGGAGAGATCACCCGCTGAGACTCTGGAAAATCTAAACGAAGTCTGTTTCTGCAGCATGCTGTATGTCTCCATGTTTGTCGCAGAAGGTGCGCCAAAATGGCAAACATCACTTGACAGGCAAGCACTCATTCTATATCATGCGAAACACGAGCTGAGTATGAACTTACAGGATGAAGGTTCACGGAAAAAGCAGTGGTATACTTACAACAGCAGTAGATGCAATTCTATAAGAATCAGACCTACCACAGAAACAGAACTCTCACCAAGCTTAAAAATGAAATAAAGCAGATGGAAATATGAGCACTTGAATTTATGCTCAATGCACAGTTATGTAACTTTATTAATCTTAAAAATCTGTGGATATGCTGCAGTGGGGACATCAGCTGCAGAAACAGAGATCCTTTCCTGTCCTCCATTCATTCTTCCTTGTCACATTCAGTACCCACAATCCATCTCCACCCTCACTGTTTGGTCAGACATAATTGTTTGTTGCTTGTTGCATATAATGTAGCCTTGAGGTGTGAACTAACCCAAAGCAAAAACACGGATCAGGACACAGAGGTCTGGCACTTTCTCTATTTTCTCAAAGATATCTGATTTTTACACTTGGAGCCCTTCTTCTCAATAAATGCTAAACCAAATTGACGTCAGAGCCTAATTTTAAAGCACGCCTTCTCAAAGTTTGTGCAATGCAATCACAAATCTTTAAAGTTAGCCCGCAGAAAGGATTAAACACAGAGCGCTGTGTTGCAGAAGTAAGAGCTGATACTCCAGCAGGAGGATGAATGAGTGACCCTCTACAGGGAAATAGTTCAAAATAAGAGCTGTTTCCTGTTGAATGCCTTTCTTCAATGAATGAAAAGGCTGAAAAACAAACCTTGGAGAGAAACAGACTCCACACTTTGAAAGCTGACGCATACCGATACCTGGGCAGTGCCTGGGCATGTCTCAGCTGACTGTTTACAGGTGACAAAAAGGCAAAAAGAAAGACAAGAAAACTGGGAAATTGGGGCTGAATACGACTGTAGAGGTAAGAAACAAAGTCCCACAACCTCGTAGAAGTTAATCACACATTAAACAACCTCCAAAATATCTTCCCCTACAGCTTCCCCTGTCACTAATTACGGGTTTTAGGCATACAAATGAGAAGACACAGAAACAAACAAGTGGATGAGAGGGGTAGAGTACACACTTACACGCACGTGACTTTGAAATAACAGGAAAATATGACTAAAAGTGGATCACGATACACATAAAGCTGATAAACTGCACAAAAAAGGTCTAAAACTGCCTGATAAAGCCACAAAACTTCTTGTAAGAGCTCCTGTCAAACAAGGAAATGAAGGAACACCTTTTGTAATCCTTCTGTCACAGGTTACACACACTCTCAAAGCTGACACACAGACACACAGGAGAGGTGTGTTTCTGGACCTTACCATGTGTTTGATGTTTGATTGTATCTGCTGCAGCCAAGATCCCCCGCTCCCATAATCCGCACTCTGTTACAGAATATAATCCGTGACAAGGAGCCAACAAATCTTCCCACTGCTTGTTTTACACTCCCTGTTTTTCTCCTCCCTCTGTCCTACACTTCCCTCCCCCTTTTCTTCCTCCCTCCCTCCCTCTTTCTCAGATAAGGAGTCAGTTTCTCTTCCTGACGTGCCAAAGTGGTGCATCAGTGGTCACTGGAGACCAAAACCAGGACCGCAGATTCCAGCAGATTTATTTTAGGACACTTAAATGTCTAAGTAGCATTCAAATACTGCACAACAACCTCACATGAACACGTTTCCTTTCACACTTGGTTTAGAGCCTTTTATTGCCGTGATAAACTTTGAGACACTCGTAGTTTCCCTCCTCACATGTCCGGAGAGCTAATGTTTTCCATGCTCGTGTCTAATCAGCTCTGGACCCCACCCTGCCTCAGAAGAAATCCTCTGCTTCCTCTGCATGCCTGCATACCTTTTTTTCCTTTTACTATAGAGTTCCCCCGCACTGTGTGAAAACAGAATATGTGAGACAGTAAAGAGGGGGCATGGAGAAAGCAAGACAAGGTGAGGGATTAACAGAAAACAAAGGATTGGAGAAAAAAGCTGATGGTGTGCAACAGCTTGATAAACTCTATGATAACCTGTTAATTGTGAAAATGTTTCTAAATATTCAGACTGCTCATTTATCTGATGATCAAGTTAATGACAATAACTTCAAAACTCAATTTAACTGTTTTGCCTTGTGTGCAAAACATCCAGGAATTTTACCCTGGCTCAGTCGCATATGTTGGGGTATCAGGACACCAGTGTTAACCCAAGAAGAGTGGTGCATCAATAAAAGCAGAATCAATTTCAAGACAAGAACAGAGGGGCTGTCTGCACATCCATGAGTTTCCTTTCAGTATTGTTATGAATATAAAGAATGCCATCCTGTTGTAGATCTCTTTTGTTTTATCCTATAACATGTTGTGAACATATTACAGCACCTGGACAGTTTTAAAAAAACAGCTTTGAACAAATACCACACATGACGTGTTTGGATACGGTCGAACTAACAGGTCAACCTGCAGATTTGTTTTTGTTCACGAGTAAAGGTCCTTTCACACCGGGACTGTTTTTTTTTTTTTTTTTTTTTTTTTTTGGTGTAATTACTTCAGACGTCAATATTTTTTTGAACCCATATCCTGTCAATACAAGTGTTCACATCAGCGACGTCACATCAGTCCTGTCCTGCTATATTGCGGCATTTATTTTTTTGTATCACGTCCGATTTTTCAGTTTCACATACTGTGTGTCCACTTCTGACCAATCAGATTGCGTGTTGTTGCGACGTCAGATTCGCCGGTATATCTAACATGGCCAACTCGCTGATTGTTAACGTGTTGGAGAACAGAGTGCTGTTTGATAAAAGACACAAATATTACAAAGATAACGACCTGAAGGACAACTTGTGGAGAGTCATAGCGTTGGATTTCTCATATGGCGATGGTTTGTGTGCTTTAACAGTTTGCTAAACGTCTTTGTTTTAACTTTCATCTGTGCTAAGTAACTTTAGCTCGTGAGCTAACCTGTTCAGATACAACATACCATATGTATTTTCACTCTCTCAAACTCAATCGCGTTGCTGTCACAGCACCATCAGGTCTCGGTTGTTACCTTACGTTTATGGATTATAGTTTAATGTGCTTATCTGGTATTGGCCCCGACTCAGTACATGCTATCATGACAGACAGTCATCTCAACACGAGTGTCTAATCAGAACTGAAAAACAGTTAGTCTGGTGTTGTGTCAGTCTTCTCGCTTCCACCTGGGACGCATCTTTTTTCCCCTCGCAAAGTCGCAAAATCGCATCGCGCTTGATGTGTATAGTCAGGCGTGTCAAAATTCGGCTCCAAATATTTGGTAATTTATATTATATTTTCGTTGTTCCCGGTGTGTAAGGACCTTAAGACAGGTGCTTTATAAGAAGTGGACACAATCCTGTCTTTGCATTTTCAATCTAGTTCCCAAAATACCAGTCCACACCACACTTCTCAGGTGTTTTGGTGCCGTGATTGTCCGCTTTTGCTTGAACTAAGTCCTCCATCTTTATAGAATTTCATAACTGTCATAGTTGACTGAGGTCAAGAGCGCTTGGATTGGCCAAGTTATGATAGGAGCGCCTTCTGCTAGATCACAGCACAAGCTATTCATGCGCTGGTATCCAGTCGTATCATGAGTTAGATCAGCTCATCCTAGTTTGTGTATGAAGCTTTCCATTTGTCAAAACACAACTACCTGATACTACAAGAGAAACAAAATGCTGAACTTACATCAAATACATGTTGACAGAAAAATATCTGGCTCAGTAAAAGTATCACCACAGGGGGGTTTTGGATTTATGTTCAGCTATTTTTCTAAGATAGAAAAATAGGAGGTAGAAGAAGAAGAAGAAGAACTTTATTAATCCTCCAGAAGGGAAATTCAATGTCATGTCAAAATAACCCATTCTAGTTTAAGTAATTAGGTTAAATTTTTTTTTACTAAAGTTAAAGATCATTTTATTATTGTACTTACATAACCATCTAATAAACATGGTTATGTTAGCAAGCAACGAGTTTTAGGGGGATTTATAGTTAATTTGTGAAATACACAATATCTGTAAAGCTGACTTATATTATAGATATCAAAATGAGAAATTATATTACACTGAATTATTCTATACATCTTAACAGATGTTGAACACGAGCCAGTAACTTTTTTAGAGGCAGTCACAGGACAGAAGAAATGTGTTATAATTAAGAAAAGGTGAGGATGATATTGACCTGCTAAATGCTGATTCACTATTATGTCTAACGGTGCTGACATACCAGAGGTGCACCCCACCCTAAGAAATGCCCACCCTTTTCAGCCACGTAACTTTTCATTCAAATTCAAGTCTCTTCAAGAAAACCAACACTTAAAATGATGAATATCACTTCATAGTATGCTATAAATGATAAAGATTACGCTATAAATGCATAATGTTAACATAATGAGGAAGAAAGATGATAATTAGTGGTGCTTCCAGTCACATGCAGGGTGCCAGGAATCCCAGAGTTCTCTTCAGAGGCTACCTTCAGCAATAGACAATGAACAGGGGCAAGGCTTTAGACCCCCGAGGCCACCTTTGGTGTGTCCACAATGTTGTGATTTTGATATCATGTCTTGGCACTAAAAACTCACCCTGGACTTGAGAAGTTTAAGGACGCAACACTGTTACAATAATTGCCACCTTTCTTCCCGGTACTTTTTTAGCTAGCATAGCTCTGGGCAGATAAAGAATGCACAATGACTCATTTCCCAGAAATTCGTGTCTAAATTCTCTGCTATTCCTGCAATGCAATGATGTAACTGACTAATCATTAACAAACAAATTCAAGCTCCTAATGTCCATCCATTCTCATCAAAAATGTTGACTTTTCACAGCACCCAAATGACAAAGGGTGTTTTCCTCTCCCTTTGTCATTGGGGTGGCTCTTAATCTTGAGTTAAGGTTTTGAGGGAAGCCCCTGAAGAAAGGATCATCAGGGCACTAGTAGAGCTCGGCTTGTAGAGCAGACGTCCCAGGTATACAGCAACAGCCCTCAAAGAGTGGGCTGCAGGTGCTCTCCACCTACCCTTTAGGTGCATGTCTATCCCACTTTCCTGTGATTCATGCCTCTCCTAAGGGTATCATTAAAATATATATATATTTAAAAAGCATGTCAAAATAACCCATTCTTGTTTAAGTTGTGAACAGTGAACATCATTTTTAATTAACATATGGTTTCTAAGAAACAGCCCTGTCTATTTACACACTATGTTTATATAGTTCATGGAGGTTCTTCCTGTCAGTAAATCAAACTGTTAATTATTTCATCATTTCTCTTCTGCAATTCATCAGAAAAAGGAGGAGTCTCATTACATGCCATTATCTCTTCACCTCTGCCTCTTCATGCTTTTTACTGAACGCTGAGGTCAGGTAAATACTGTGGAAACACGTCTGATCTGAGATCTGCCCCTAGGGGCATTGCTCAGCTCTCCTGCAGTAACACGGGGCAGGAACACACATGCAGACTGTGAGAGCAGACACGTGCAGGAAAATGAATTTCAAATATTCACATAGATGAATTTATATTTTCTCAACTTCATTTGCAACTGAAGCTTGATTTACCGAGCAAAGTTCTCTGCAGCATTTATGAAGAGTGGTCTTGAGGGCTGCAACCCCCCTCTGGTGCCCTCTACAAGTAGCAACACTTACTACACCCACTTGCCAGAATAACTGTGATGAGGGTCAACTTTAAGTGTCACAAGTATGAAAACAACTTTAACTTATAAATATTCAGCCTCCACTTTTGATATTTTTTCCCACCTTCTGTATTGTCAGAGTTTGCTATTTTTATAGAACAAGTAATACTCAGGTCCTGGACTGTCTGGCACATGAGATGGTTCTCTCTTTATGTCTTCATTTTAAAAAGTTTAGATCACAAACTAAGATTAGGTTGTCTGCCTCAGATAGAATTATTTCTAGACACCAATGCACAGATGTATCACCTGATAAGACCATCACCTTTGAGGAAATAATGTGCAATGTTTTGACTGTATCTGCTGACTAAGGGAGGAGGGGTTTTATTGTGCAGAAGTCACCTGTTTGTTTTCATGACCAAAAGTGCAACGAGGAAGTTTTATGCAGTTTTTGGCAGTGTTTGGTCTCTAAAAGAAACCAGCGACATGCACTAGAGACATCAAATCCCAGAGTTCATTAAAAAAAAAAGATCAGAAGAATTACAAAGAAGTAATGCCAAAATAATTAATGTCTGAACTGGCTGTCAGATTACTTGTTGTTTGGAGCATCAGTGCCAGAACTAGTCCGCATTTTCACAATTGGGGTGTCTCTAAAGTCAATTCTAATCTGATTTGTGTCTGTAATTTTAATCTTCCATTTGCCTGTACACACCTTGAGACTGCTTTACAGAGGTCAAGTCTGTCTTTGAAATGAATTATCTTTAAAGCAAATTAAATCCTATGCTCTGCTTTTCTGTGGCGTCCCTCAGGGGTCAATTTAAGGTCTTCCGTTATTTACTGTGAACACTCTGCACCAGGAGGAAAACATTAATGCACATAGTTTAGATTTTAATTGCTTCATGAATGACATGTAATGGCATGTCCTGTTAAAGCCTTGAACTACCTAAAACTTACAACAGCCTTCTTCAGGATGGGGAGGGCTATTGTGTTACTGAGCTGCAGGTCAGCTGAACCTTTTTTGTTGTTGTTGTGTGTCTGTTTTTTTTTTTTCAATTTCAGATGAAGTCACAGATTTATTAGGAAGAAAGTGTCAGTTAAATTTACAGTAGAATAACTGTTGGTTGCATGATGTATTAGTCCACAATAACCTAGCATGGGCTTAAAATCTGTATGTAGTCATTTGTTGACCTTCAGAGTGTTTGGGGCCAAACACAACTACTTCTACAGCTTAAACAACATGAGGAAGCTGCTGCTGAAACATCAACTGTGAGGAAATTTGACATACGAGTGTAGAGCTATCTGATTTATGAGTCGAGTCTAAGCTGAGTCCAGGTCAGGTGACTGAAGCTGACACCCGTAGGTAAGGGTTTGGGGGGTGGGGGCGTGTTGGCCTGGATGTTTATGACATGAAGTTTGTTGCTGTGAGGTCGCCTGCAGGACAGATCATAGAGGGAAAGTGAACCTTTAGCCTCTCATTGATCAACTCTGGTTTGGCCTGGCTGTTTTTAGTCATTTATAGTCTGCGTAGTTTTGACCAGTCAGGTGCCAGTAGGCTTTGGTACATGTAGTCTGTATGGAAACTATCACAATGAAATCTTGGCTCACATAAGTAAACAAAGATTTATTGACATAAACAGACATCTGTACAAAGTGTGGCACTGGCTCACAGTCTGTTGTAGGTCAAATATGTCCACTTGACACAAAAATCTGCTTGATGCTGTGCCACTAAAGCCAATAGGGGGCTTTAGATCAGAAGTTTATGGATAACAGACCATTTATCAGTGGTAGCCGCCTTTTTGTGATGCCACACACACTCAGGGTGGGAAATTCTTTTTACATTTTAAATATCTTCATCTTGACTATGTTATTTCAGCAAATGTAACACCAGTTAATAACAGTGAAAATTGGGTATCTGTTTCAGGTTTCTACTACAGAAGTGAGCCAGAGTGATGCCTCTAAGTAACTTACCATTTATTTACAGCAAGACTGAGACTCACTGGCGTTGAATAAACAAAAACAACTGTGGAGATAAAAACTAGGAAATAGCAGCATTGTTGGTGTTGCAGACATATCTAAAGAGGTTAATTTCACTTCTCTTTTAATCATTCTGAATACACAATTGCTGCTGAAGCTGCTGATTGGACCGGATTGTATTGCCGACATCCCTGCAATACACCACCACAAAACACTGTGCCCTGTAAAAAACTGGCAAACAGTAATACCTCAGTGGTTAGCCATTGTGCCCACAAGTATTAATCATCAGACTTTGGGGCTCTGAGGTTAGGGTTTGTATTAAACTGAGGGTCAAACACATTTATAGATACTGACCATCCGAGCTAACACAGTCATTATTAACAGAAGCTGACAGCAGCCGGTGTCACCTGTTATAAAAGTTTTCTGCTCAGTGACCAAACATTCCTGCACACTGACTCAGACTGTTCACTGAATGACCTCTGTTGCTGGTCAGAACCAAGAGACACTCAAACAACTCACAGCTCTGCACACAATCCACTGTGACTCGACGAGACATTTAAGAACACAAAACTAGGTACAACAAGGAGAGTTGGAGAAAGATATTAAATATTTTAAACCAGCCTTATAGCCTCATATCATAGTGTTATACAGAAAATCAATGTAGACGATGGACAAGGTGCAACACAGGAGCGGATCCAGGGTTTTCCACAAAGATCATGCTCAGGTACAGTGCTCAGTGTGAGTCACATGCTTTTACAAGCATCAAAAAGAGCCAAAATGACAAGCCAGATTGACTATTTCACAAGTCCATGGCATGGGATATGTTTCTTCCAACACCACACTGAAGAAGTTTGGAAAAGGCAGAACCTTCCATATGAAGTTTGTTGGGTGATTGGATGAACATTGTGGCTGCCACATCAATTATGAGCCAATCAGAACAACAAAATGTGATGTGGCAGGCATACGCCACCACCAGGAGTGAACTATACAACATATGCTTGATACACTCTTGTTGTCATGTTAATGAACCTTCATGATTTTATAATAAAAAATTTGAGCATCAAAAGTCACTCAAGAAAGTCAACAAGTACTTCAGTGAGTGAGGCAGCTAGTGACAAAAATGTTGATGAGTGACTAAAAGACTTGAGGTTACAACTATATAAAGATAATTTAAGATTAGAAAATCCTGTTTACATTTGCTCATAATATGATTTTTCAGTTTATAAATGTTGGTAAGAAGAATAATAGAAAATAAAAAGTGCAGACGCAACAACTCCCAGCAAAGAGAAACTGTCATTCTTGCAAATCAGTTGCAGTTGTTTGGTTTGAAAACCAGGACCTGGAACCCTCCACTAAATCAGACCCATAGCAACTGCCTCTTCCTCCACAAATGATGCTGATTGGTCCCGTCAATCTCTGACTAAGAACAAATGCATTAGCTCAAGGCTTTGCAAGACCGATCTGCCTGGTGACAGACATGGGATTTGCTTTGAATGGTGTACAGTAAAATGCATTTTCACCTGAACCAAATCCATCCCCTACGGCTAGTGGCCGTGTTTTATTTTCCATGAAGGATACCGACCACAACAGATAAGAGCACTTTTCAAGTCATTATTAAATATGATGTTACCATTTGCTGAAGTTCCTTCTTTAATGTCTTAATGGTCCACATGTCTCTGTTGTTAGTGTCTGAGTTAAGTCCTAATTTGAAACTCTCATTTGAGTTTCCAAAGGTTTTAAATATTTTCCCTCTTTATGCATACAAGTAGCTGTTACTCTTCTTTCTTATGAGCATAAAAATCCATCTTTAAAGATTAAAATCCAGGTGTGGAAAGAACAAATTAAAATCGTCATATCTAGAGCTCATTTAAGATGAAGAGATACAAAAAAGGTTTAAAAAGACCAAAGCTGAGGCACTGCTGCGATCTCACAACATCTCAGAACTCACTGATACATACAAGTGTCATAATTATGCAAAACAACACATAAATCACACAGAACCAGTCGTGCAACAACACAAAACCACTGTGAAGCCAATATGCCATCATGGGAGCAGGAATGAAGATAAACAAGACAGAGTTAAAACCTTTGATGAGAACTAAATAAGCTCAACATCAAACTTTTCTCATGCTCCGGTGGGTTGACACTCTCCCTGTCCTCTGGCTCTACAGCTCTCACATTTAATTGTCTTAGGAAAAGGGTAAAAGTATTAAGACACACACATAGGCCTACCTCAGAGTCCTACATGTGATCCAGTGAGACTTCTGAAGTCCAGGATCTCCTCAGTGAGCTGACGGTCAGCCAGAGCGTCTCTGAGTCTGTGTCCACCTGTCACCGCCTCCTCTTCACCGAGTCAGAACAAACTGAGTCACCCTGAAGCCCCTCCCCCTCTGTTTGTCTCCACTATTGTTTACAGGACACTTTCAAGTCTACCCAGCTCTGTATGTGTGTGAGTGAGTGTCTGTGTGTATCTGAGTGTGTGGTGTGTTTGTTGGTATGTGTAGGGCTGGTTTGGGTGTGTATAAATAGCACCGTGGGGAGGGACAGAGGCTTGCAGAGCAGCTGACTCAACACATTCTAGTTTGGGTGAGTGCTCATCACAGAAAGAGAGGGAGAGTTGCTATTCAAAACACACACTGCAGGACCGGCCAACACACACACACACACACACTGCAGGACTGTCCAGCACATTCACACACTGCAGGTCAGGACTGTGCAAAAACACACACTGCAGGACCATCCAACACACAAAGACTCTGCAGAACAGTGCAACAGGCAGAAACTGAAAGACAGCAAAAAAACAGGCTGCAAGAAAGTCCAATAGAGTCACATGCAGGACTGCCCAACACACAGCCTGCAAGAGTGTGCAACAATAGTAGAATGTCAGCACACACAGTGAAAGACAACAACATGTGCAACATCTACATGAGCTGTACAATTCAGAAGTATACATCTTTTACCATACACTAAACACTTCTCATTGTGTAATATATGCTATCTGTCATGCAATTAACATGTCTTACTGTAATACACATTTCAGTGTGAACAATGTACATCTAACCTGCACTTTTCAGTAACATACACTTATATCTGCGCATTTAACAATATTTAGCAAGTCATATAATCCCTGAAAGATATTATTTTTCCATGATGCAATATATATTTATATTGACATATTACTCATTTATTACTCTGATATTCTTCCAGGCAATATAATTATTATTTACAGTGCAATTTTCATTATACAACACATTAATACAACAATAAATATTTATGATCATGCAATAAAAAGTCTGTCTGTAGGATATATATCTTCTGAGCAATATTTATGGTTTATTTGATGATGTTTGCAGTGTTACAGTGGATGTTTAAATGTTGAGCATCAAAACTAATTAATATTTTTATACTTTCTGTAAATGTACAGCGACACTTGATGCTTTCTTTCTGCTCTATTTTTGTTCATTTATTTAACTCTAAGTACTTTTTTATCATTTTGCCTTTCCATTCCTTAAATTTTATCTTTTGTCCTCTTATTTTATTACCTGCTGAGTATCCTCTTGAATATGGTTTATGAAAATTTCTGTAAACTAAATATTTACAGGTGGTCAAAGGATAAAAGACTCACCACCAGAACATTGTGGTACTCTCTTAGCATTAAGGGGAATGCTCAACAAACAAACACATTTTTCTAAACAACATGATAGCAAGTTATGACCTGTATGAGTGTGGTGTTATACTGAATAATAAAGAGTTTAAACTAAATTTCAGGAGCATTAAAAACTACAAAGTTGCAATAATAAATGCAGTGCACACTCTGGTAGCATATTAAAGTTATTAAGCAGAAAATCTGAGACATATAAACAAACAGTATCCTTAATCTGTGATAATCAATGGCAGCCATTGTAATCTAATTACATATTTCAGGCATCAATAATTTCAATTGAGGATTGAATCCATTATGTATCCTTTTATACATCCAGAAGAACTGACTGTCAAGGAGTTAGACTGGTTGGTGGCACAGCCTGCTGAGAAAGTCTCTCACACACGAACGTACGCACGCACGCACGCACGCGCACGCACGCACGCACGCACACACACACGCACAAAGACAAACATTACTATGGAAATAATAAAGTGAAATCATTTACCTGTCTGGTTACTGATACATTATTATGGCTACAATGTTGGTTAATATTTAGGCCGTCTGTGTGTGTCAGGCAAAAGTTAAGATGTTTTTAGTACAATAAAGGCAGAATTTCTGAAAACTTTATAAAAGTGAATATTATGAAACTAAATTCTATTAGAGCAAAGATTATGAAACACCAGTTACCTGATTTTGTCAAATACCTAACTCTGATTGGTCCGAGCCGCTGCAGGTGGTTGTTAATCTTAAATAGCAACTAGATCACAAATTTCACACTTTTCAAATCAATCTGCATTTAGGAAGAAATGTAAAACTGCCACTGTCAAATTATTTGGAGGGCGCAAAACTTTGGATTGGTGGTTAAAGGCAGCCTGGTCAACAGCAGAGAAAAGTTGGTGAGAAGAGGTAGAACAGAACAGAAATTAGGAAATATTAAAACTCATATGGAGCTGACTCAAAGCCACTTCAACCAAAGTGAGGAAAACAGACACAAACTGCTGTATGACACCATCATTAGTTGTGTTACGAGACTGTTTTGATGAAAAAGAAAATTGCCAGCAGAAAAATGACAGGATACAAGTCAGTCTTTTTTCCTTCATTGGCAGTTCAAATTGTGTTGTTGAGGTAACAGAGTCAAGATGCCAAAACTCTCCACAGTTGGACTGTGATCAGCTGGTCACAGATGAATGAACCATCTCCATGATAACTCAAAAACAAAGCTGACATCTAGGCTGGTGCTCCTCAAACAAGTCCTGGCAAAAATTACAACAGCTGTGGCTGAACAAGCATCACTCATGTTAACCTTTTATAAGATCTCCAGAAACACTTCACAAAATATTATTATATTTCAGTTCAAGATGGAGGGAAAAAAACGTTCAGCAGAGAATTTACCACCACATTTTCAAGTCTAAGTCTGTCAGAAGTAATCTGATCAAATATAGTTATCAGACTGGATCAAATGTTGAAAGCGGATGTTCAGAGGATTTTGGATAATCAATGAAATCAAATTTCAGTTTTTATCTTGATTCCGGTTTTTGAGCTTAAAACTTAAAGAACCTTTCATTTCCTGTGAATGTGGCGCCCCCTGTAGGCAAGGAATGACGTCCTATTAAGAGCCTCCAGATTGCTTACTTAACATAACCTGGATTATTTATCTTGAATTGGAAAGATGTCAAACTCATTCTCATCCATATAAATCTTTTTTCAGGGCCCTGGGTTTTCTTCACTCCCACAAACAGACCCTCTAACTTGTCACATTTGCTCATGTTCCAGTCTTTCAAAAATACTGTGATGGTGAACATTTTCATTTGCATTTGAGAATTAACATGATTGTTTCTGCCGATCCCAAAGACAGTGGAGACTTTAAGAGGACCTAGTGTGTTTCTACTGTAGGGCTTACATAAAGCCTCAGGAACCTTACCTAAAACCAAAATGGTCCCAGCTTCGAAATTTGAACTCTACAAAAGTGCTAACTTTAGGGGTCAGCCTAACAGTGCTCAACATTTCTGGTGGGCAAATACATCCGATATCCGGTATTCCAAGACCATTTCATAAATCAGCGACTAATTTTCAAAATCTTTACAGGTGGACCCGGAGACACCCCCAACTTGAATGAACCACTTTGGGCCCTTAAAAAGTAGCTCCTAGGCAGGGGAAACATGGCTTTACAAAGCAATGCAAAGAGTACTGTAGAAAGTAGTTCAATGGCACATTATTGCTGTCTACATGCTTGGGTTATCATTATGACCACAGATTGTATGTAATCAAAATTGACGGGTTAAAAATTGTCTTGCAAAAAAGGGCTCTTTAATCTGCAGAGGTAAATAAAGGCAAATTCAACCAAATCATGACAATAAAAATATGGCAAAACAGACTTGAGAAAAGCAAATTTCACTGTAAAATCCAAAACAGAACCCTTCAACTCTGTGCATCAGATGACTGCTACCAAGTTTCCAGAGAGTAACACAACCTGTTTCCACAGAGTGATACAACCTGTTTCAAAAGTAACTGATATCACCACCCGACAACAAAAAAGTATAACTAGAATAAAATACTCCTCTACTTATCACCTCCAAACAAACCTCAACTCTAACAGTCACACAGACTATGTAAAGCAGTGGTGAGAAATGAAACTCCAGCAGTCTGAGGAAACCCCCCCTTAATGGTGGTCGAGACCTGCAGTCTAATGTGCAAGTGTTAATAAAAGTGTTTCAAACTTCTTCTTACTTTAGCTTAAATATGATTCTTACATTTTACATCAAAAGTTCCAGAGTTTTTACTCCCAAAATGCATCATTTGTACACATCCTGCTATTCAAACCACATGTAAACTCCAGAGATCTAAAAATAAATCAAATATATAGGTTGTGATAATGAAGACACTGAGTTAGGATACCAACAACTTTTGCTAGTGACAGTCATGATCTTAAACAATGTTATGTCACTGAGAGTGTACTGTAGTAGTTAGTTGAGAGTGCAAAATATCGAACAGTCAGCTGCAGTTTTGTCTCTTTCTCAAAGTTTTGCTTTCTTGTTTAATCAAAGGCATAAAAAAATAACTAGAGAAGCCATGAAACATATCGTTTGGAGCAGCTCATCGGGATTTACATCTATCCACTGCTCTTTAAATTGATCTTTAATCGTTTTATTCAGCTGTTTAGAAAGAATGCATAAGTACAGCAGCTGTCAGATTAACTTCACGATTATTTCTGTCGGCCCATTTCTCACACTTTGCAACGTCACTTTGACTGTGAAACAAGGGGATGTACAAAATGGTTCATGCAGACCAGTAAGAGCAAAAGGTGCAAAAAGAAAAAAAGGTCAGAGAGAAAAGGATAACTACGACACAGGAAAAAGATGAGACAAAAAAGAAGAGCAGGCAGTTGGGAAACCACACGGGGTTTTCCTGACTACCACCAACACTTTGCATAGACTAAACAGCCACACATGCAGCAACGCAGACAACATTTTAGCTAATGATGGCTTTACCGGTCCAAAGTCCCTGAGGAAAATGTCTGACATCTGTGTTTCAAATTAGAATATTGAAGGTCAAAATTCAGAGAAAAAAGAAAAAGTCATTTATGATAAAAGAAAAATCTGTAATTTTAATTTAGTTTCTCTTTTTAGTGGCCCTTATCTTCAAGGACAAATATAAAATGATTTACATTTTCCCTTTTTCTTCTTCAAGTAGTTTGGTTCATTTGAACAGACACAGACACGCCTTTTCACAAATAACCCACACATGACTAAATATGAAAAAAAAATCTGCAAAATATTCAGGTTGTACTTTTTCCTTCTAGCCTCCTGCCAAGGTTTGCAGAGATAGTAAATGTGAGCTGCTGTGTAAATACAGAAGGTAGAAATGAGGAAAACTCTATGTGAATAGCAGCAAGTGGATGGGATTCATGGATGGAATGAAGCTGCTTCATCCTCATTTCTGCCCGCAGCATGATGATGCAATTATACAATACTGTAACAAATCCTACTGCATTTTATTGAATTAATTCAAAGTGTAATGTACTGTTTTGCATTGTATTGTATCTTGTTGTTGCATCGCATTAATCAAATTGCATCATATTGTATCGTACCTTGAATTTTAACAAAGGAAGGCAAAGTATGGACTGTTGTATTGTTTTCCAAATTTGAGTAAAAAATATCATTATGTGATTATTGATACCACATCAAAAAATCTGGAGGAATGTTGTCAGTCTTGTTTGAATTAAGTCAGCAACATTTGTATTGTCTTTGGGTTTTGTTTAAATCTGATGCAGGTGGAGGTGGAGGTGACACAGGGTCAAGAAAAGGACAGGAAAAGAAAAGGAAATGTCTAAACTCCACTAATTTCATCATTATCACTCCTTCGGCTAACTATCAAACAAACATACATGTCTCCTCCCCCTCCCTCGGTCCCTCACGTCATCTGATATTCTTGCCAAACAGGACATGCTCAGAAAGCGTGGGAGGGAACCACAGCTAAATTTAGCCTTCTGTCACAGAGGTGCTCATGCAACAACAAAGAGCGGCTCATATAGAAAAAAAACAAAAAGCTAAACACAGAAGAGATGCATTATGGTTAAAACCAGAGAGGTTATCAGTCAGTTTCACAGATCTGAGATAGAGTTTCTGCCAAATGAGTGTACCAAACAAACTTTATCATTGGGTTTGACTGTTATGTGTTTACAGTGATTCACCTCTGCTGCTTAGCAACATATCAATGACAAATATCAGAATGTAACACTCAACAAGTGCATGGTCACTATCTCTAGACAAAGCTATCCCCTATCTATGATCTGTTGCTATATGAACGTTGAAAGTGTTTTACAGTGTTTTGCAAAATAAGTCACAGTTTAGAGGCAACGACTGCATCTTAAATTCACACTAAGGGTCCTGTTTGAGTTAAGAGAATAAAAGCATTTCAGTCAAATATATGATACTCATTTTTTATTATTAGCAGACAAATTACATATGATAATTTTTTTCCCTGAAAAATGCAGAAAATTATTGCAATTTGCTGTAATTCTTCAAGATTTTTTTGTTTTCTTCATTTGTGGACCTGTGCTGGTTCCTACAGAATTTTGTTCAGTCATAATTAAACAAATCAATAATGTGATTGTTTCTTCAGTAACTTTACTTTTTTCGAAAGCAACAAACAGAATGAGTGTAAACATAACTGTCTTGATAATATAGCATGCCAAAAAAAAGTGGTCTTCTAAGGACAACTTACCCCAACTGTATGGGGTAAGTTGACCGTAGGAGCGGGGTAAGTTGGGCCGTATCCCTACTACATATTCATGTGTATTTTTTTTATCAATTATACACTATTCAACTGGTACAATAATTCATTTTATTATTATTGCATATAACTGCTAAAAAGCTGTTTTAACACGAGAATAATAATAATAATAAATTTTATTTGAAGCGCCTTTCACGTCACTCAAGGACACATTACAGAACATATAAAAACAATAAAACACTATTAAAAATTAAAATCATTAATCATCAAACAGTTAAAATCAACAAAGCAACATTAAAACACGAACAACAGCAAAGGAATAAAGAAATAAATAAATAATGGCAATTGAAATTTAATTTAAAAAAGTGAGTTAGGGGTGGTGGGAGGGATAGGCCAGTTTAGAATGGCTTTAAGTGACTCAGAACAGTCACAGTTGTATTTTGAAAAGAAAAAGTAACACATTTCAACAATCTGAACTGAAACTCTGATCCTCTCATCAGACTCCTTTACTTTCTCAGTTGAACCACTGGCTCAATTTGCCCCTGAACTACTATGATGACTTTATTAGTCCTCTAAGCTAAAATGGTGGACTTTCAAGTTAGGTTTTTGACCTCACGTTGTAGCTCAAAGATACCACAATTGATGTATAAAACAAATGTAAAATGATCTTTTTGGTCTGAACGCAATTCTAATCAAACTTATGACAGACTAAATTCACTTTCAAGAGTGAAAAATGTTTTTTTCGTAAATAACCCATTCACCCATGTGCTTCAAAGCTTCACAGACTACATGAATTGATGTCCATCTCCTAAATATTTGGTCACATGATCAATTTTTTTTACCATTTCCAAGCAAAAGGGGTGGCTCAACTTACCCCACTCTCCCCTCTATTTGACTTCATCGCGATCTCTGTCCATCCAAGGGTCTCAACATGCTCTTACAAAGTGAACTCGTTCCATAACCACTTCGAGCTGATATCTAGCTGCATGATTTAATATTTTGGATGGTGTATTTTTTTGTGTGTTAGAAAAAGTCTTGCACCTCTTCCCCATCAGCCTGCACTGATCAGGGTCGCTTTGACAGCTCGCGAACCGGACTCTCACCTGTTATTTTTCGATCTCCTGCCGGTTGAGGTCGTTGTCTGCGGGTCATCTGGTCCTGGGAGGTCCTTAGCGAGAATGAGATGTGGGTCTTCCTCAGCTGGCTCGGGTCTGATGTGGACCGATCCGTCCCCTCGATCCGGACCTCCACATCGGAACAACAGATGCAGATACTCTTCCTCAAAACAAGTCAACGAGCTTCTGTCGAGTTTCCGTGTTGAAGAACTCGTGAAGACGCCGTGAGTCTCCTTCATGAAGTCAGCAGTATTCAGAGGAGGACCACCGGTATGTGAACCACTTCCTCTAAAGATACTCGACAGAATAAAGCAACTCGTGAACGTTTTAAGTCTACCTTCTTAACCCTGGCTAATTCTAGAAAATCTTTGGTTTGCTTTAGGACACGAACATCCTCTGTCACTAAAACACAAAACCTCTCATAAAACAGGTTGTTAAATTTAAATACAGACCCTGAACTTTGCAACCCTTATTTTTCTCAAACAGGCTAACCTTGAAGGGATATTCGGGCATAAAATTAACTTAGGGTCAAACCATAGACTGTATATAATATGGACAACTTGGTTCCTCCTAACGCCTGCATACGGATTTGAAGCCAAAAAGCTCTCGGTATTTACCCCCCCCCCCCCCACGCAATCCCTGAACGCCCATACGCTGTATCAGGTGTCAATCATAGAAAACATGAACCCCGTAATAACTTTTAAAAACGGAGCTTCACAGAAAAAAGAGGACTTGAGCACAAACCAATCTTACAATAACTACATGTCAACATCACAACCAGGAGGGAGAAACATTTATGTTCTGTGTAATGAATTCCTAAAGTGTGTCTACAGCTCCATAAGCTTTGCTGGCGTAGGCGGGATTTATGACCTTTACTGCAGCCCATCAACAGAGGGTGCTGTTCTCGGAGTGGCTTCACTCAGCAAGGAGGCAGACCCTGTCCATTTTATATACAGTCTATGGGTCAAACACACTGTAATACCGAGTTAGAAACCCCCTCGAGAGATGAATGTTGCAGACATCTTGCTTCTCTAGTTATACCAACTTTAGTAACGACCGCAGATAGCAATACAGAGAGCCAGACACTCAACCAAAACACCTCTCTTTAGCCACAAATAATGCTCAGAACAGCACCTAACTTCATCAACAGTACAGGGTCCCAGCCATAGTACTCGCCACCAAAACTCTTTACAGCTTTGCCTGACTTCTTTAGCAAAGAGACTAAACACAACTTGCCGTCTCTCCTCCAGCAGTCACTTGTTTGTACAGAGACCTCTGGGGGAGTCCATCGACTGAGGTTGGGGGGCGCAGCTCAAGGACGAACATTTATGGCTAAGAAGAACATTTATTACAAGGATTTTATTTAGGCCTATTTTGAAACCAATTTGATGTCTTGAGCCTAAAAAGTTACCTCTTAGGGGAAAAAAAATACATTTTATCAAATAACTGTTTGTTATCGCAGGAGCTACCAACCCTTTCAAAGTGACAACCAGTGTGTTTGAGTTTCTTTGACAGTTTTTGACTTGCGATGAAATGATTGACTAAAATGAAAGAAAACCCACATCGACTTTGACGGAGACACGTTTTAGCATCATAATTTCAGTCTTTCAAATGAGCCTACTTTTATTTTGAAATACATATGTTTGAATTTCCTGTGTCGATCCAATAAACCAATGTGACTTTATTAAGCTCTGAACAGTGACATGCACCTGCATGAACACCTGCCGTATCATCTCAGCTGTTATTCTGTTCGTTACAAATTCACGTTATAATTATTCACATTAATGTGAGGAACACTTAGTGTAAACCGGAGATGAGGAGACGTGACCTTAAATTCAAAACGTTGCACTGATTCAGTGACCTGGATGAAAGCATTTTATCTCCTGAGCTTCATTTCATGAACTTTTTTAGATTGAAAGAAAGGAAATTTATCATTAAGATAATCTAATCAAACAACATAAAAGGTGTTTTTATTTTTACAAATAAAAACAAAGTTTATATGATGCTTGAGGACACACTGCCCTCTGCTGGCGGAGCTCTGTCAACGCGGGTTTAAAGTTCTTAGAAACCGTCATTTATTCCCAGAAAGAGCGCTGCGGGCCAGCCGTAATGTTGTGGACACACAGGCATCCTCGTCCAAACCAATAAATCAACTCTACCACAAAGCCTACTTTTACAAAGCTACGTTTAGATTTCAGCTGGCACAGCTGTTGCATTGAACTTCATTAGATTGTCCATGTGCACATAATGAAATGGCTAGAACATATTTACAAAAGTATTCAAAAATATGCACTGTTAAAAATACATTTTTCGTGAATGATCTCTACAGAGTCGAGGTAATATTGGGAGATAATCACTGACTCATTCTTATATGACAAGTTGTCCGATATATCTCTGCAAAGACTTTTAGAGCCTATTCTTGGATCACCTTTTCATGTCTTGATTATAGTTTTTGTCTTGAATTGAAACTTTGGACATCAAAATGATCTGAGTAGGTAAAATAAAAACTGAGGTATTTTAATAATCTATTTTGAAAAAAAAAAGTGGTGGGAAAAATAGGGCTTTTTTTCTTAACAGGGGCAGCATAGTTGAAATTAGGTCAGAGTCACTCACCTGACACTTGTTTTGATCCAGTGAGTATATTTTTGATTCAAACAGTAGGCTGAGTTTTTCTTCTTAACTGTGATTCGATACATGTCACAACCTGTTGCTGAGTCATTATCACAACACATTTTTAATCAGCAGATATCAGCGTAGATGATGAAATCAAGTCAGCTTGTCCTAGTGTCCATTGTCATGTTAAGAAACAAGAAACTATTTTTTTTTTGAAGTTTTCAGTTTTTGCTCTATGCAGAGAGTCTTAAAAGTCAGTATGGTCTTGTTATTTGTCTCCCTTGTTTTATAACACATTTCCAGTTGTGGGAACCACATGAATGTCCTTGCATGGGCCCTCAAAGTAGGTCATGCATTTTTCCGCTTTTACCCCACCCACAATCCTCCCACTGTTTATCTTGTTTATCTCTCTCTTTCTGCTGCAGAGCCATGAACACCTCCCTTCACTGCAGGGAAAATATTCCCAAAGACCCCTGGACTATTTCACTTTGACCTCCATCAAGACAGGCTGCTAAGGCTGTCGAGTGAAATCAGGATAATGGTGATCGACCATTTTAAACAGTGAGTTCTGCAGCCTCTTGGGGGTGCCAGTGGAGTTAAAATTCTGACTTAGTGTAGCTTGGACAGTGGAGCTCTTACTTAAGCAAAGGGAGATTTCCTGAACTTACAGGATAGTTTTCCAGTTCACCTCAGTTTCACTTTAATATGCCTAGAGAGGTCGCCAGCATGTTTATAAAATATTTGGTTTCCACTTTATACAATACCATTTTAACCTGTGATGAGATGACAAGGGTCTTCTAGAAGTGACTAGAATGCAATGATTTCCACTGCAGGGTCATGTCTTTTTAATGCAGTGCCACCTGAGGGCCCAAAGATGATAGCCATCCAAGTATAAGTTAAGTCTTTTCCAATCGCTTTGATGATATCATGTACCAAAGATTATGAAATCCCCAAATCCTTTGCAATTTTTATTCTGGAAGGACCCTCTGGATTGCCCTTTTTGCCAGACTCAGCCATGTTTTCTAACACTTTGTTAATAAATTATTCAGGGGATATTCCACCAGGATATTTTCCCTTTTAGCTTTTAAAAACTCTGTTGCCATCATACCAACTTTTGTAAAACTTGATGCCAACAAAAATATCACACTGCTGAATGGTATGGTATATAAATGGTGTACAGCTTTTTTTTTACAATCGGATGGTAATATTTGAAAGTTCTTCTTGTTTCAGAAATAATGTTCCTATTCATATACCCAAGACAAAACAAAAAAAGAAAAAAATATTCATTGTGTGAAAAGTCTGTGTGGACTCCTGCTCATATTTCTCCTCATTTTTCTTGTTGAAACTTGATTTGCATGCAGGGTGACAGGACTCCTGCAGCTACCTCTGTGTTCGTGCTTTATCAAAGATTTCAGTTTCAGGTTTTCAGGGATGAAGAGCCTGAGGGGGAAGAGAAGCAAACTCTGCAGCTGCTCAGGGGCCCCAAAGCAAACTAACCATGTTCCTTAAGACCTTGTCTTCACACACGACTGAGGACAGGTGACTCTTTATTCCCTCTACAGACAAACACGTTCTTAAAGAGCATATTTGTCATCTCAGTGCTAAACAGTAAGTAAAACACAGATAGGAGGGCGTTAACATTCTTCAAATTCCATCACTTTGATAACTCCAAACACAGACCTGCAGAGCTAAACCTTCAGCAGCAGATGGCGTGTTCAGGTCGTGAAATGAAGTATTTCACCATTATGTACAGGTTTTAATGGCTGTTAAGTTCCTGTAATTAATTTTTTTGTCTGTCTGTTGTTGCAACCCTTTTTGCTGCTGTAATTAACATATTGTTGTTGCAAATGTAGGTCACTGACATGCGTCAATGTAACTCTCCTATGAGTAATGTTTATCTATTCATATCTTCAGTACACATAGGTTGTGCATTATTTTAAAGATCTCTTTCTTGTTTCTCTTGTGTATTTATGGTTGCGTGCTGCTCTTCCAGACTGTTCTAAGTCATGTTTTACAGTATGTGAAGTAAACACAGTTGCATGACACACAAATGCATGAGGTAAATTTCCGCTGAGGGACCATAAAATTGAGCTTATCTTAACTCAAGTTAAGAGTGGTTCAATCATTCTCTAAGGAAATTTACTCCAACGGTTTAGTGCTGGACTTCTATAAAGTCAGGATAAAAGCAACCGATTAAACATACACTGTTTATCTTCTCAGACACGTGCAGGTCATTCACTGCCAAATGTTTGTTCTTTTAGTTTCAGATGATGAACCATTTGGAAACACATACACCCTTGAGACTGGACTAGCTGATTATGAGGGAGACCTTCAAAGTGAACAAAGTTGCATTATCCTGAAATGGTGTATTTGGGGTATTTACAAACCTGACAGAGTTAGGGATAAAAAGTAAAGTTTTGTGGTATCAAAAAGTCTCAAAAAGTGACTTTTACACATTTCTAGACAAAGACCTCTGAGTTTTTATTTCTAACATGGAGATAATTTATCCCTGTGTCTGTTTTGAATCCTTTCAAGGTTATTCTTGCAACAAATGATTGATAGAGTTGTTATTGTGAGAAGAGTTGCCAAATGCTAGGCTCCACCCTCTACCCACACACATGCACACACTTACACACACATGCGCGCACACACACATAGTTTACTTCCTCTGGTTGCCTCTGTCGAGGGGGTAATGTAGGTCAAGTTTTTTGGCGGGTCAAAGATCCTTTAATATAGTGCATACTAATCATATCAACTCATCCAAACTCCCAAAATGCACTGGGATGTGCACTATTTTAATGCACGCACAATTTTTCGTGCTCCCTTTGTGTGTCTTAGGACTTAAAGGGTCTGTGCAGAAGATTTTGGAGGTATAAGTTTGTGGATCCTCCTCCGACGTTATGTGCTACGTGGCACTTAACACGTTCACATCTCTTTTATCAACGCCCCATCTCTGTGTCTTCTGCATGCGGGCCTGTCACACTCTGTTTGCATGTATACAATCTTGTTTGGATTAGCCGTTTAGAAAAACAAATAAAAAAT